TCTCTTTCTCTCTCTCTCTCTCTTTTTCTCTCTCTCTCTCTCTCTCTCTCTCTCTCCCTCTCTCTCTCTCTCTCCCCTCACACACACACAAGCTTACACACCCTCACACACGACACACTACCGGGCCAGGGCGCTAAAACTTTCCGAAATCACTAAAGAGTTCCCCTACCGGGTCTGTATACTTCGTGACTTTGTTCCCGGTTACCGGGTCTGTGTATACACTTCGATAATTTTTTTCTTTCACGTTCATAATATGAGTCATGACACCCAGACTGGTTCTTGACAGACTGGATATATTTTTTTTTGTGTGTGTGTGAGTGTGTTGTTTTGTAACATGCACCTGGAAAATGGATGACCACCTGGAAAATTGAGAAGCCACTTTGACAATCACCCTGTGTGCACACAATAAGTCTAAATCTACCCTACCCTACCCTACACGGCAGTGCTACTGACTGAAGCATCTTTAGGCCATTCCCAAAGGATGGATATGATGTTCTTATGCACAGTAGAATTGTAAATATGGGCTTATTTATCAATGTCATGCTCATACTCATACTGTGCACGGACCATATTGTTCCATGTGTTATGCAATAATAATATATGTTATTCATGGCACAAATGAACTCCCTTTTTTGAGCTGGTGTGGGGCTTGATTTGCTGGGTACAGTGGTCTCTGCCTAAACGCACTGTGCTCAGGATGGCTCCTTAGCGTGTGTTTATACGGAGCATGCGTTTATATGAACCTTTGCAAGGGGAGGAAGGGACGCAGTCATCTCAATTCCTTATTACTCTAGTGATCTCCCTTGTAGGAGGGGGTCATTTTGGTAGATAATGTGACGACACGTGACTGTTTTGTGAAGGATTCCCCAACAGGGGTTAAGAATACAACGGCGTTGAATGGGGTTGGGCGGGGGGGGGGGGGGGGAAGAAAGACAAACTCAATGTAATGAATCTGCACTATAAACGTCGGGAACAGATAGCCTAAGAGGAAACTTTTGGAGATAGTCATAGAGACGACAGACCAGCCACGTGGCTTTCCAAGCGACCACCCCTGACCGTAAATTCATGCAGAATCTTCCTCGAGAAACATTTTCTCTTGTGATGTTTACATCTAAAGTACGTTATAAAAGTTCTTCGAGCGCAGCTTATTAGGCTTATTTGGCTAATCTTTAATCCTAAAGAGGCCTGTCTTGTGTTTAAGGCATTTACGCATGTCACGCATCAGGCCTAGATCTAACTAAACATACGCAGTCACTCAAACTCAAACACCAGACAGAAACCTTCTCTCACGTCTCAAAGATACATTTCTAGTGACCAATCAAAAAACATTTCAACCCCCCCCCCCCACACACACACACACACATTTAACCGACCAGCCGTAGACTGAGACCTGTGCGTCAGTGGAAAGTTAAGGGTGCGTAAACGCTCTCCATCACTCTCTTTGTACGGCATGAGGGGCACTCTCACCGATTAATATCCGGTTTTCTAGTAAATTCTAGGCTTGTCTTATGCAGGCTGTGCAGGTTGTAGTGGAAGTTTCCCCTTGCCAAGCTTAACTTGTCGGCGTGTTTCGCGGATCGGAGCGTGCGTTTAGATGGAGTGACCGTGCGTTTGTACGTCTAAATTATATAGTAAAAAACCCGTCAGATGACAAAAGCGTGCGTTTGAGCGGAGCGTGCTTTTGTATAGCGTGCGTTTAGGCGGAGACTACTGTAGTAAAAAAATTTTCCAGGTAGTAAATTTTTTCAGTAGATATTGCAGGACACCCTGTTGTAGATCATCTAGACCTAAATCTAGAAAGGGAAGGAGGAGGCAAGGAATAAAAAAGAAAAAGAAAGAATAAAAGAGAAAAAAAATGAATGTGAAGAAAAGAGCTTGGATTGCTTGGTTATTAAACTAATTAACACGATCTTACACCCTCTCCCATTTGGTCTGAATAATTTACAACACTTCTACCATCGTGCAAGAGCATTTATTGTCTTGTGCTTGTGTCTCGTTACGTTTGTACACGCTCTCTGTTCCTTGAACCATAATTTATTGTGTGCAGGCAGAGAGTGAGAGGCGTGCCATTGTTAAGTGTGTAAACAATGAATGGTGCGGCTGGTCCCACATCCCGCTCTGTTGCATCGTTATTTTTAGTCGTGGAAGAAAGTTTCTGTATTTTTAGCGAATTTTTATTATTTTTCCAACTTTTGCGGAAAATTGGTTAAAATTCGGGAATTCACGAAAATGAGAAAAGTTGCGCTGAGGGCAAAAGTTGCGTGCGCAGGTTGCGGGTGCTAATTTCTCTTAGGACAGGTCATCTTCTTCTGAAATTTCGCTTTCACTGGTTTCAGCAAAATCGTCCTCTAAATTGCTCATTTTGCAGTAATTTTGGTTGAAAATGAAAGACTAAATATCAACCCTACATCGCGATAGTCACAATAGTTGTCCAAGCTAGCAAAACCTTGCCGTTTTGTATTTCCAAAGGACGTCCATATTTTCCGGGCTTCGACAACTAATTGAGGTATTGAGCCGTCAAATTTGTCCGCCTTGCTGTCAAGCGGTTAAGGGTATCGTGCAATCATTACACTTTCTTATTTCACAAATTTCTATCATCTTATTTCATGTAATTAGGCTAGGTCTACCTGATCTCAACGCCTAGGTGAGAATAAAATCCATTGTATTCTCAGACCGGGTGAAAATGACAATAATTATTCTCACCCAGGGTGAGAATAAAATGGATACTATTCTCACTTGTGGTGAGAATAACGACAGCTGAAATAAAAAAGAGGGATAGGGTTTGGAGTAAGGTTAGGTCGAGGTCACTTCTTTATTGTACTAGTGTTTGTTGGGATGGGCGCTCGTTACGGCAGTCCTCCCTTGGTGTCCATGTCGGTGTCATCACTGTCATCGAGTCTTTTTAGTACTTGTACTCTGGTCAGGTAGATTTCTGTTTGACAGTACAGTGTAGGGTAAGTAGAATTGCTTGATTTAGGCCAACATGAAGTCATAACTAATTAGGTCTTTATCTGCTGCAAGTCTCCAAACATCGTTGTGGTATATGCAAATGCAAAAATACATTTGAGCACTATTCTTTTGGAATTATTCTCCTCAAAACATGCTTTTGATCTGTGAAACCCAATTAAATTGAGACTGTTTAGTTGACAGTAATGTAGCTGAAAGTAATGTTTAACATCTTTAACTTTTCTTTTTGGTCTGATTCAGGTCACTATGGTTGGGTCACCCATGAGTCCGCAGGATGCTGCGGCTCAGCTGACTGCATTCAAGTCATATGTACAGCTGATTGCAGACTCTACTCCTGGCAGTAAGTTCTTGGTTGCTTTGAGGGAAGGGTTGTTTGTTGTTTGTTTGTTTGGTTTTTTTGGGGGGGGAGGTTGTGTTATCCTTTGTGTTATTTCCTTTATTATATAAAATGGGTATCACACTTATTCTGTGACTTTTAGTTAATGTGACTCAGCAGCCCGCCGGAGCTCCCCGGCTAATGAGCCTTGAAGCGACTTTGCAGGTGTCGGTTGAGAAGTTTGTGTTTTTGTCTACATAACGATATAACTTCTTCCCCGTCCCTCTCAGCAAGCCATTACACTGATGTACTAAAAGCTCAGTGTCTTGAGATTATTTCTGCATTAGAATGGTTAATTTCTGTGCATTAGTTTTTGTTCAAGACAAGTGTTTGTAGCACTCCCAATTTGTCCTATTTTCATTACATACTTATGAATAAATGATTGTTTATATTTAAAAACGGCCCGACAGATCTCTCCAAAATCTGTGTTCAACTGACTACGATTATCATGTCTTTTACCATGAGAACCCTTAAATATGCACAAGTAGTAACAGTCAAGTTATAAGAGAAGAAATATGCACGTCTGCATTTTTAAAAATAAAGTCCCTCAGCGTTAGCTCTTGTTTTACCATTAAACAAGAGAAAGTTACTCTGCTTTTGTTCATGAATCATGCTGTGTCTGTGGCTACCTTCATACAACTAAGACAGATATTATTCAATTTGTTTTTTTAAAAGCTGTATAAATACAAATGAGAACATTGTCAGTTATTACAAATGATCCTAGAAATAAAATGAAAGCTGGAAAAGTCTGGTGCTGATTCAGTGTCACTGGAAAGAAGTTATTTTTATAACCCAATTACGAGAAGTCATCCCTGTAATTCAGTCAACTTACAAAACCTACACTTAGCGTTTTAAGAAAGTAAGGAAAGGAAGGAATTTCTGGAGTGTAACAGATACTGTTATGGAATTACATTGTAGATGTATTCTGGCTCTAAAATTGGTTTGTACTTTTTTATAGAGACTTCAGGGTAATTATAATAAAGTTTCGAAAAAATATACGAATATTCACGATTATATTAGACACATGCAGTTTTGTTTGGAGGAATTACTTCATAGCAAATTGTGTGCCAGATGGATAAAGTTGCAAAATTACAGCTTTCTATTACATACGCAGATATCGTCTTGTCTGAGAATATGCGCAGCATCAATGTTATGTCGTTCATGTTCCAAAAGTTCGACAGTTTTATTTGTGTCTTTTTTTTTTTTTTCTTTTTTTTTTTCTTTCACACTTGTCCAAAAAAATTTACAATTTAACATTCCCAACTTCAGCGCTTCTAACGAAATTACCGGACAAGTTACAATGTCTATTCTATTTTTAGTTTTAAAGAGCAGAAATGCGTGCTTTGGATGCATTAAATGATAATTACCATAAATACAAGGATACGCCTAAAACTGTACATGGAAAAGTACCAAAAATTAAGTCAGCTCAGAGAGAGCAGTGATAGGGAGCTGATGACCACGACGTGATAATGCGCTCGGCGGGGAACCCCCCGCTGCAACTAAAATTCCACTGCTGGTGCTCCCTGATCGAAGTGGAGAGGTACACTAACTCATCAATCATCATCATCAATGCCTTTTACCCCTGGCAGGGTATAAGCCACATACATACAAGCTCCTTCCATTTATCTCTGTCCTGGGCCATCATTCCAAGCTCGTTCCAAGTGAGCTTCATCTCTCTCATGTCCCTTTCCACGCATCTCCTCCATGTTTTCCGTGGCCTACCCCTGCCTCATGCTCCCTGAAAGGGGGCTTCTAAAATTAATTGAAAAGTAGTGACTTTCTCAACGTAGAGAAAGAATTTGTTCTACACAGTGCTAATAGTTGAAGATGTAAGAAAATGTATTTTTTGGGTATTTATTCATTTTCAGTGGAAACCCGACAGTGACGAAAATGTTGTTCTCTAAAATGCTCTTCTTTCACCTCCTTTTCTGTTTTTTGGTCCTGTTCTGTCTTCTGCTTTTGTTTTATCTCCACTTTCTCTCCCCTTAACTCCTGACTCTTTCTGCTGCTTCTCCTGGCTCCTTACGGCTGTCTTTCTGCCACACCCCTGATCTTAGGGTAAGTAAGAATTTAAGATCAAACACCTCGCATTTTCAGATAAGGGCAAAAAATGTCAGAGGTCTCATGTGTAATTTGCCCTTGTTAAAGATCCTGTGGTGATCCTAAAATAGATAAGAGTGGCAATCAGCAGCCAACCGGTCAAAATTCAAAATTAATTCCCACCAAAGCAAAAGATAGTCCTGTGAGTATAAAACATATACAGTATCTTCAAAATCTGATTTTGGCTGCCAAGGAGACCTTCGAAGTTGGACAAATGGTCATATACACGTAAAAGTCAGTTGCACTGCAGGTTGTAGAACCAGCAGTCAATCTACCCCTGAGATCTAGCAGGGGAAGTCAAAGAAGACGATCACAGTTCCAATTGGATCATGATGATAAGTGTCAAGTGGCGTGCTTTGTAGAAACTTTGTTAATTAATCTATATTGGATTATTCACCACCCCCCCCCCAACCAGGGCAGTGCTACTGACTGAAGTTGTCTTTAGGCCATTCCCAAAAGGGGTATAATATGTTCTTATGCACAGTAGAATTGTAAATGGGCTGATTTATCAATGTCATGCTCATACTGTGGCGGAACAACATAGGGGGAACTGCTGGTTTTTCTTTTCTCGTCCTTACTGTTGTCATTTTTCCTCTACTTCATTTGTATTTTTGTCACTCTCTTGTGAACTGCTATTTCCGGGGTGCCTTGATAGTCGAAGCAGACTTTATGCTGTTGAGGCTAGAGACGTGAGCAGAGTGGGCCTGATTCTGTGTTCGGACTTCTCTGTTGATATCCACCCCTTGGTGCTCATTTGACCTTTTGCGGTTGCGAGCGCTGTAAAACCTTACTAAAACAACAAACAGGATTATTCAGGGGGATGTCGCTGTAATTAATACAAACTGCCACCAACATGGGAAATATATGGGTAATTGTTCATCTTTGACTCTTATCTTCTTTCCTCAGTTGTGGAGAAAAAACTGAAAGCAGCACAGGAATTGAGTGAAAACTTTGAGGTAATGGAAATGTTGTTTTTTATGCCAGGTTCCCTTATAGTGTGCTAATGTTTTGGGGGTTTTTCAGCCATATCGAAGAAAGAGAATTTCTACTTTTTTTTAAAGGTGGAACCCAAGCAATGGTTCTGTAATTGTATTACAAATATTCATGAATACTATAATTTTAAAATTTAATGAATCTTGTGGCATAATATGACCACCTGTCTTTACAGAACACAGATTTGTCACCTTGTGTTGTTGAGGTTGTTTGTTTTTTTGGTTAACCCCTTACTTCCGAGAGTTTTGTTTTATTATGTAAAGGATACATTATGATTAATAGAAAAGTGCTGAATCCTGTGTTGATGAATTAAGATATTGGTAAAAAGATGTCAATTTCAACAAAATATTTTCTCATCATTAAACTTTTTATTTTGGTGTATATTATTGGCCCCAAGAACAATATAGCACCCTCCCCCTCCCAAAAAAAACCGAACAACAAACAAACAAACAAAAAACTCAAAGTTTTTAAAATCTATAACTCTGCTTTTATTAATGTAAAAGTAGATAAAATTTCGAAATCTTAAACAAACTTTAGAAAAATTGTCTCGATTAATTTGGCGAAAATGATTTAGTAAACACAGGCTCTTCATGTTCACTCACTGGTAGTGCTTCGAGCTTTCTAATCTTTTAAATGTTTGTATGTATTCAGCGGACTGATATCAATGAAAGGTGGTTTATTACCACTGACGTAAGTAACAGATTGGTTTCCATTCTTGACTGATACTTGAACGCAATGTTTCTCCTACAGATTGATCACTAAATATTGTTTTGTTGTTTTCATGTTGATTCTAATCCAACAAACTTATTTGCATGGCTAAAGAAAGTCAAAAGCCAAATGGATGGCTTATAAACTTTTTTGAAGAGGCAAATATATATATGTTATTGTCTTGACTTTTAGTCTTGGTCAACCTTTAACCAAACTCCCATGGCACAATTGGTAACAGACGTAACCAACATGCTGAAAGTCTGAATTTATCGTCATCTCCGTCCTTGAATATTTCAACTCAGTTCATCTTCAGCAAACATATTACATACAGTACAGCATAAAATATCACCCAAAGTGACAAAAACAGTTGTATTTTTTTGCTGATAGATATAGGGAGTATGTCAAACAGGAAATGTTTGCTCTGACTCACAAGAACAGCTTCAGAATCTTAGGAATCTTGGAACATTTAAGCTAGTTTTGACATACATATTTAACTGTGTGATCATTTTGGTTATAAATTTCATCCCGAAAAAACGTGTAAATTGAAATGACTTTGTCTTCCTTATAAATACTCATTTCTCTAGAGGGGTGTTTTTTTTATCATGCTCTTTTGTTTTTGTAACAGTTCTTGCAAAATTGCATTATGGCTCACATCAATGTTACAAAGTGTTATTTAGTCTATCCCATCAGCGTTTATCACCCTACTAACTATACCCATCAAGTTGGCATTACTCCTACAATACCTTATACATGACAAATTCATGAACGCCTGATCAAATGAAACCGAAATTAGAGTGATTTCGTATTGGGTATATTGCTTCTCTTTTTTTTTTCTTCCCCCCCCCCCCCCCCCCCCCAGTGTTTCTCGGTTTACTATTATCATTTTGTTGTGACTGAGTCATCGTTCTATCTAGTCTTAAAGAAACTGTAAAGGTCAAGAATGTTTTTAATTGCTCTGAGTATTTTTTCTGTTTTGCATAATAATTTGTTTTTGTCGCAAAAGCAAGAAAAGTTTCTTACGTTATTTTTCAAACCTACAGTATATTGTTGGGAGGATTGTTCTGTGTTTCTAAAAAAAAATAGAAGGTAAATTGTAAGAAACTTCAGCACCAGATTTATCAAATTGGTTATATCTGCCCGTGAAAAGAGGCCCTTATTTATTTATGCTTAGACCCTGACTGTGTGGTTATTTTTTGTTGGGATGGATGGGGGGGGGTGTCGAAGTCTGTTTTAGAAAAATTCTTTGCACTTTGATATTTGACTTGTCTACTTTATCCAGTGGAATAAATGCAGTTACTAGCCTTACCTATAACCACCTTCATTGTGTCCCCTTTATAACTACCATAGATATCCCACTGGCATGGAATGAGTTTACATTGTGTGGCCACATTTTTGTAGAGCTGTTAATAACAGAGAAAGGAAAAAATAGTGTTTTCCAAGGTAGATTTTCTTGATACATCATTTGCTTTTGTGTAAAAGCCCATGTCATACACCTTAAAGCTTGGATTGTTATTAATTATGTTTGTTGTTGTTGTTGTTGTTTTTTCAGAGTGTTGTGGCATTGCAGCAGTATCCACAGTTTCTAGCTGAGCTTATGAAGGTGTTCCTGAAAATTTTAGATGAAGGAGAACCACAGTTCATTGCAGAGCAGAATATACAGGTATGTTGAAAGTAGCATCTACCAGTTTTGTTTTGTGGTTTTGAAAGATGAACGTATGTACATGTTTTATTTGATGATGCATAACTATATTGTATGATTTTTCAGGTACAATTCGAGTGAAAAAGATATAACTTTGTTTATATGATGTGGTAAACTTGTCTTTTGTCCGTGAATATAAAAGGTAGACAGTTATTTGCAATTTTTGCTAAACTATCCCGTGAGAGACTGGAGTACTTTGAATACGATAAGCATTTTTTTTAAATGATAAGGGGAATTTTTAAATATCCACTTTTGGTCACTTTGCTTACTAAGGTAAGTGACAGATGATTATTTCTGTGTTTCTCTTGAGATGACTCCTTCAGTCGTAACCTCATTTGGTTGTGTGTCATCAACATTTTCAGTTCAGCAAAAGTTAATCTCCCATCCTTTCTTGTGTTTGTTTCTGTACCTTTGGAAAGATCACATTTCTTCCTTTTACATTGGTGTTTCTGGGTGGTTGAAGGCCACGGTAAAACCTACTTCTTTTCTTTCCCTCTGATGTTTCTGTCTGATCTTGCTTTTTTTTCCTACTGGATGGCAGTTGGAGTGTCAATGTGCACCTCTAGTCTTTAACAACTGAACAATTTGTTCTTCTGTTTCAGCAACTGAGAAAACTTTTGCTAGAAATCATTCACCGAATCCCTTGCAACGATCACCTGAAGAAGTATGTGCAACAAATTCTGACTTTGATGTTCAGATTGTTAAAGGTGGGTTAACATGTCTTTCTGTTGAGGACATTTTTGTTTGCTCATGTTGTATAAATAATTAATGATAAATAGCTTTTGTATAGGGGGCATATCCCCGCTTGGCAGCAAGGTCAATGCAATTCTCAATTTATATTTTTTATTACCCCAGAACGCTTAGAAACTTTGTCGACTTCCTAGAAAGCGTACAGTGCAAGCAGCTGATTAAGCACTCAAACTCTAACAAACTGACATGGTCTTTCACTGTCTACAGCCAGATATCCATTGATTCTCGCATCTCAACTTCTTTAGCAGGCAATCGGTCAGGACCATTGCTGTAGATTATGCTTAAGAAAAAATGTACCTATCTCTATGATCTTGAGATTATTTTTGCTCTTACATACATCTGCCCAGCATAATGATGAAAGAAGGAGTTTACTTTTGTGTAGCAAATGTGGATATAATATTAATAGGTTGTTTGGTTTTTTTTTTGTGTGCTTTTTTTTTCAGATAAATGTGGTAATCTGGATTGTTGTAATACATTCCTGCTTATACATTTATTTATACTGTTTATGTATATTTTAATTTCTTTGTGCATGTCATATTGCACTTAAAAACAGTCTTGATCTAAAATGTATCAGACATGATCCATAATTTTTTAGCCCCACCACATGCATTTCCACGGGGTCCAAAAAGTTCATGGTTTCATTCCGTTTCTTTTAAAATCTTTTTTGGAGCAATTATTCCCATCACTGGCCCTTTAGGAAGTGCTGTAAATGAAAGATGATTATTCTTATCAATGGTCACTGAAGTGTTGAGCTATTTGGTTATTATTATCTTTAGGTTATTAATGTTAGGCGCACAGTCTTCTAGATTTAAATGCAAACTATAAATGTTTCTTCTTTGTTTTGTACGGGAAACTTATAATGTTACTTTTGACGCTTATATAATAATTTATTATTTTTAATTTATTGATGTAATTCTCTGACTGAAACTTCCTAATAAAGACACTGCTGGACAAAGTGAAAATAGAATTAATTTTTCTATTCTTTATTGGGCTAAGTGAAAATAAAAATGGTCTTCTCTTCTTTGTTATTCTGGTCTTAATCCTAACAAAAAAGTTTCTTGTTTCTGTTCCCAGATTGAAAATGAAGATAATGTGCTTGTCTGCATTCGTATCATCCTTGAGCTACATAAACAGTACAGACCACAAATGAACGAGGAGGTGAGTTCGTTTTTTTTTTTTTTAACATTTACTGTTTGGTGTTTATTAAGCTTTTTGGTTTCTAATTCAGTTGCAGTTGGTCTGTCAATGTTGTTACCCTTTTGTTCTAAGTTTTTATTGAAATGTTCTTCAGCGGTAAAAAAGAAAATCCAGAACATGCTAACCCCTTCAACGCCAATATGATGTGCAGCATCTGTCGTGAAAGTGCTTACTGTCAGCTTTGTGTCATCTGCCATACTATGACCTAGTGACAAAAATCATCAGTCAAAGTATGTGCAGAAGTAAGAAATGCTAAAAACACCCAAAAAAACTTTTGTTTTTAAAAATAACAACAGGTGTTTGGGGTTTTTTTTTCAAGAATTGACTTCAGCAGAGAAAAGTCGAGAGGGAGGTGTAGTGTAGACTTGAGCTGTATTTGCTTTTGTTCTCTGGAATGCGATGTATGTTGCTCTGAAATCACAATAATATGTGAAGGTGCTTTATATTTGGTTCTTAAAAAAAACTTTCTAACTTCAAGGTAATTTTGATGATTGGTTCAGGGGTTTTATGTAATTTTTTTTTACTCTGAATAAAATAACAGGTAATGTGGAAGTACTTTTAGTTTTGGGCTTTGAGAAGACATAATTTGCAAGTAGTTTTGGTTTTTTTGCTATCTTGGGAATGAAGAGGAGACCCTGCACACTTACAATTTAACTAATGTGCAGATGGTTGGCTTTTGTTGTTGCATGGACAAATCTAACTTAAATGTTCACCCATAGATGTAAGGTTTTTGCATATGATTTGGAAAATAAGCCAGCCCACCTGGTTCAAGTGGTGAGAAGAAAGTTCTGCCATTTTGTCTGGGGTGTTGTTTAGCCATTTGTTTGTTCTCCTCGACTAATTTGTGGAATGCTGTAGATGAAAGAAGCTAATATATATATATATATATATGTATGTATACTTATTTTGCATATGTCTCCCTCATGTAAACAAAACAGGTACAGAAAAGGGTATGATCTTCATTCTTATTTTGTGTCTTTTTCTTTACTATCTGAGTATATATCCCCCCTCCCATATATATATGTACATATAACTACTATCACATTAACCCTTAGTGTAACCAAAAGTTTCTTTCTTAATCTGTGGGATGGTTGTTTTCTAACTTATGTTTTTACATGAGCTTTTCTTCAAGATTTCTTGAAGTTATTACATTGCCTCTTGCTCTGCCTTATTTTATTTTATTTTTTTTTCGTTCCTTTGCACACCTTTTTTTTAAAAAAAAACTTTTCATCATAATCATGAAAAATTTTCCTGTATCATATTTCAATTTTATCTGCCTTCATATCGCATTTAATCATAAACATCTCCATACTAAATCCTATTCTTTTTATAGTTAATATTCTAAATTATTACTAATCAAAGACTTTCTCTAGATGCATATTTTATGTTTAATATTCTAAAGACTGCATTTGAGATCAACTTAAATATTACTTTGTTTTGTAATTTAACGGTCATGCACATTGTTTTGCCAACAGTCCTCACATTTTCTTTGAAAGTTTTTTGACGGTTTTAAGATTATGAATGAGGTGTTATAAATTTTAGTTTCGTAAGTTTTTAAAAAGCCTCTGTTATCATTTTCATCTCGGGTGTACCTGTTTTTTCAGTTATCGGTACTTATAAAGCTTTATATGTTGCAGCACCATCTATGGTTATTGTGACCTACAAATTTATACTATTCCAACTGCATACAAAATTCTCTGTTTATTTTATACCATATTCGTATTCATCCCTTTACTTGAACAGCTCCTGCTTTTGTCTCTATTCTTTCTTTCCGAACAGCAATGTTATGTATGTGCATTCAATCTTTTTTCCACATTATTCTTTAATAATTGTTTTTTTTATTTGGCACTCTAGAGCATTCAGAACTGTGGGGGATTTTTTTTAGGTCTTATATACAACCACTGTGTAAAGAGGGGTCTTGATGTGGTTGCACAGTCCTTTTCGTCATCTAGTTTTGTTCACCATTTTTCCTACTTTGCAGCCATGAGTTTCCACTCTTTGACAAACTGAGGGAATAGGCATAACAAAAGCAATCATGTTTGAGTTGATATGAAAGAAAGCCCTCTAATCTGAGCATTTGTATCCAGACATTGCTTTAGCTAGGTCATTGTTCTTCTTTGTTCCAGAGTAACCATAGTGGTAATAGTTAACAAGGTTATTTCCATAGTTTGCTACTAAAGGTCTTAAATGTGGTGATTTGCATTCCTATTGTTTTTGTTAACGGGTAAATAAAAAAAGAGGTTTATTTGTATATTTATCATGAACTGAAAATAATCACAAACAAAAAAGAAAGAACATTGAAAAATCATATGAAGTAATCTTTTGACTACAGTGCTTGTTAAGTTTATTGTACTTTTTGAAATTGTAATTATTTTGTCTTCACTCAGATATGGTGTAACGAAGTACTGAAGTTTCTTAAATGTTTTGATTGTTATTTTCAGATCACAGAATTTATGAAGTTTGTGAAGGGAATTTACAGTAGTCTTCCCAGCCACTTGCCTCGCATTTTTGAGCCTCGTTCTCAAAAGAAGGTGAAGGATCTCTCTGATATTAATGTTGAAGTCTGGCTGCAGGATATTTTTACAATGACAACAGTGTTAACAGACAAGAAGAATGCAGAAAATCAGAGTGTACAGGTACCTGTCATTTCGTTGTTTCTTTGTTTTGTTTTGTTTCTTAAATCCTTCTCCTTCACACTGATTTGGGCGCGCACGCACACACACACACGCACACACACACACGCACACACACATACATACTCACACTCAGAGACACACACACACACACACACACACACACTCTCACCTTGAAAGATTAAAAGTAACATTGCTTATTTTTGGTTGTGTGCCTCTGAGGAAGCTTACTAGAAGCTGCAATGACTGTTGGCCAATCTGTTCATTCTTGTTTGCCTTTTCAATTACCTACTGTTGCCTCTGGCAAGGCCCTTACTGCTATTTTTCACATTAATCAATCTGAAAACTTGTCAACGGGCGAGTTCCATTATTGAAGCAGAAATTAATATTGGTAAATGGCTAAGATATTATGGAATTGTAAATATGAGGTTGTTAAGTTTTTTGTTTTTGTAAAGTGTTTTACAGTGCTCGCAACTGCATAAGGTCATATGAGCGCGCGGGACACACCTAATATTTTCTTTTGGTAGGAAATTTTGAATTTTGCCAGGGTGGCGGCCGAAGCCTACTTTTATCAATTTTAGAAGATCAGGGGTGTGGCAGAAAGACAGCAGTAAGGAGAGCCAAGGAGTAGCAGTAGAAAGGCTGCAGAAAGAGTCAGAAGCCTAGAGGAGGGGGCAAAGGAGGTGAGGGGGTAGGGGCAGAAAGTGGAAATGAAAGCAGACAACAGAACATTGCTAGAGAGTAGGAAAGGAGATGAAAGGAGACAATTTTAGAGAAGAAAATTTTTCGGTCGCTACCTGGATTCGAACCCGGGGCCTTTGAATGAGAGGCCAACACCTTAACCTCTGGGCCACGAGAGCCCCCAGGTTGTTAAGAAACACCTGCACGTCAATAAGTGTATATAAAAGGCTATATATAATTATGAAAGATTTTCGTTACCCATGCTACACCTTTCTCTTGCCCAACTATGTCTTTCCACTAGATTGCTGCGTCCCTCTCAGCCTAGATTGGGGCTGACAGACAGTCTGAGAAGCCCATGCCCTAAAATATTTAATTTTTTAATGTAAGATATTTATCATGAGATCAACTTTTTTTGTTAGTAAATCTGTCTCATTACCTTGCTTTTTTATGTTGAGGTGCAAACGCAAACCATATTTGTTCTCATCCCTTGTACAGGGTCCAAGCAGCCCATATCGTAGTTGGACTATGTCGTCGCCTGAGTACAACCCTGTAACCCACACTATGTCAAAAACACTTCTTTCTTTTTTCTAGTAAATGTAATATTGTTGATTTTGTGTCAAATTTTTAGACACGTAGCTCAATAAACATGGCCAGTGCAACATTCCGAATTTCATTTTTAACAAACGTTGTTAGATGAACTGACAAAGTTTTCTCCTTTTCCTGTAAAATTTTGTTTTTGTGGTATACAGGGTTGTTGTACGCGGGCGACGATATAGTTTCGATGGGAGCGTAAAACATCTATAATCATTTTTTTTTTCGTCCCATGTAGTACAACATCATCCCCATGGGCATCCAGAGCCTGAAGGTGTTGGCGGAGCTACCAATCATCGTGGTGCTCATGTATCAGATGTACAAGCAACAGGTGCAGAACGACATGGTGGAGTTTATTCCCCTCATCATGAACACCATCACATTGCAGCCCTCAGCTCAGCACCGGTGAGAGGATGGAATTCTCGGGGGGTCTTGTCTGTGTTGCTGGGGTCACATTGTTTTTTGTTTGTTTAGTTTTAGTATGAGTTTTACGGCTCTGGCAACACAGTTAGATCATAATCATATTAGTGCCAGAGATTAGAAGTGATATCAGAAAGTAACATACTAAAAAAAGGAGGGATAAGGACAATGTATATTTGATAGGAAAGAAAGAGCAAACCATAGCAGAGCATCCGCCAACCACCCACATAGATTTTGTGCTGTCGTTGTTAATGAAACGGTGAGAGATTCACAATACATGTTTTCACCGAGCTAGAAAATCAGAACTAATTGAAATATACATATATATCTCTATGGGGTGGGGGGGGGTAGCGTTCTTATAGGTTCATCCGAATTTGGCTTACTTGGTTTGGAAATGTTAATTGAAATGGTCTTGCTGGAGTTGTTTGGGGTTGTTGTTTTTTTCCTTGTTTTGGTATTGGCACGACCAACAATGCTTTAAATATCTTTTTCAGGGCTAATCCTGCCTTCAACAAGGAGGTATTTGTGGATTTCATCGCTGCACAAATCAAGACTTTGTCCTTTCTGGCATATATCATCAAAATATATCAGGTGAAGAGAAAGATCGATAATGTGAAAAAGATTTTGGAAATAATGCAGTTAGTAGAAATTTGGGTTAAGTCAATGATTAATTAGTGAAAACTTGAATCTATTTGTGAGAGAGAGATAGAGAGAGAGAGAGAGAAAGATACTGACAGACAAAAGTGATGGACGAGACACAGATGGAAATTTAAAAACAGGGAGAATTATGGTGGCGGAAAAGAGGTTGGGTTGAGAAACCTAAAGACAGAGAGAGGGAATGTTTGGCTCCCTCACTTTTCGTCTGTCTGTTGACACTGAGGAGTTTTGATGCAGATCATGAAGGAGAAAATTTAAAACTTCATACTGCCCTCTGAAGAAACCTGGTAAATGAGATTTAACTTCTTATAAGTGCCGCGATACAGAGGTATCTTTTTCTTTAGTCTGTATTTGACTAAATGCCCTTTCTAGTAATGTATTAGTCCTTCATAAAGTCATTGTCTTCTGCATAGCATCTGGCTCCCCTTCATCAGTTTTGAAAATGCAATGAATTACAAGCCATTTGTTGCCATCAGCAGGTCAGTCTTTACTAGCAAATGTATACATATTCTTTGCACATCTTTGGAGAACACCATAAAAATTGTCTCTAAGATATGAATCTTTGTCTCAGCAGCACTTGTGGGTAAACCCACGTAGCTATAAGTCATAAAGGGCTTGTATTGTGCCCTTAAGAGAGCATGGCTACATATATTTGTACAAATGGGATTTGACCAGCCATGGGCATTGTACATTGTCTTTTTTTTTTTTTTTTTTTTTTTTTTTTTTTTTTTGCTTTTTAAAAAATTGTGTAGCTTTTGAATTTTGACAAAAACTTCCTTGAATGCATGTAAGCAATACTCCTGATTAAGAAACGGCAATAAAAAAAATAATTTTCAAAATATTTGACTCATGACATTTTTTAACAGTTTGCCAGCAATATACAAGGAGTCTGCCTAAACTGAAATTTGTGGGGCTGCCTGATTTTCTTCACTTTAATCATGTTTTCTGTTATCAAAAGGTTGTAATGATGATTGTCGACAACATAGAGTTGGGAATACCGTGCTTGCGCAAAGTTTCACTCTTTGAACCTTTTTTTTCTCTTCTCATCTACCTCTTTTGACTGCAATTTGAACTGTAGGCTGGAAGCATTGTGCTTTCTCTTCAACATTGCCAGCTTAAAGTCGGCCAGAACAGAAGAAATAGAAGATCAGCATCCTGTACTGTGCTCTGTGCTAGTCTTGAAAAGTGAGATAGGCCACTATTAGCGATTATGAAATGCATCACGTACCATCATGTCCTCATATATAAGGCACATGGCTAACAGGTGGTTGTGCGACAGATGTACGATCGCTGTTCCTGCGTCTCTTGACCTATACACAATGCGTCAGCTCATTGATGCATGTGATAAACTTGAGCACACTATACACAAGCGATACTTCTCTCTGGCCTGCAATTGACACAAGTGCATTCTTGGGTCTCTTTCTCCTGTTTTGATGTAGGACTTGATCATCTGCATTACATAAAGGCTTGTGAAAATTTACACAACATATTAGAAATTCTTTTCAGTTTAGAAATATAAGTGTGCCTGCTTATTGATGGTTTTCTTACAAAGACAGTGGAGAAAAATAAAATTGAGGATTATATTTTCTTTCACTTAATCACTGTTTTCAGTTTTACCACATTCTGTTTTGGCAGACTCCTTGGTATTTCAGAAGAATATGAAATATTTATACTTATCCCACACTTGTTTTCTCTAGGATTTAAAAGGGCCTATTTTCTATGCTTTTCAGGGGGCTGTAAACAGTCACTCTCAACAGATGGTCCAAGGTCTTCTGGGCCTCATGTCCCTGTGCCCGCCTGAGGTCGCTCACCTGCGCAAGGAGCTGCTCATGGCTGCCCGACACATCCTCTCCACAGAGCTCCGGAACAGTATGTACACTTTTGAACAATATGCCTCTTGAACAAGGGGCCCTTTGAAGTATGAAAAGGGGTCTTGTAGTAAAAGTCAGTTGCATTGCAGGTTGAAGAATCAGCAGTTGACTACCCCTGAGATCTAGCGGGGGAACTCAGAGAAGAAGAAGAATGAAGACAGAAATGCGTGCTTTCAGCTCAATAACATTTTTATTTTGGTGAATTAGCCTATGGCCAGTTTTCACTACTCTTCTTATATTTTGTGCCAAGGGCATAGGAGGTGATAGATATTGTCTTGTCCAGATTTTTGTCTCATGTCCCATGTGATGTTGCCTTGTCACGTGAAAAATAAAGGGGTCAGTTACTGATTAGTGTCACCAACACCAGCATCTTATTCTTTGTATCCTACCTTTGTTGAAACAACTTTTCCACTTCTTTCCATAATGCAGTTATTTCCATATCTTCATGTGGGTTTTTGGAGGGCAAGATTTACTTGGGTGGTTGGCGGGTGCTCTGATGGGGTTTGCTCTTTCATTCTTATCAAACAAGTATCGTCCTTATCTCCTCCTTTTTTGTGTATGTTACTCTCTTGTTACACAACTATTCTTTGGGCACTTATATGACCTTATTGTATTGCAAGTGCCGTAAAACTATTTCGAGAACTAAAATATTTTACTGTTGTTCTTTCCTAGTGAATGCAAACTTGAATATTTTCCTCAGAATTTGTGCCCATGATAGAGAAACTGTTTGATGAAAACATTCTGATCCGATCTGGCTGGACCACTCATGAATCTCTCAGGTTAGTGCTGGGCTCTTGCTGTGCCTGGTGGGGGGGATTCACTGTACTCTGTAGAATGCAAGCCGTAACCTGGATCCAGTGTAAATACCGTACAAACACTGTCATCTGCAATAAATTGCCATTATTCTGTCAGTGATGCTTCTCTTTACTCGTGAGTGGTTGGCGGGTGCTCTGGTCTGGTTTGCTCCTTCTTTTCTATAAAACATCTATCGTCCTTATCTCTCCTCCTTTTTTGTGTATGTTACTCTCTTGTAACACATCTATTCTTCGGCACTTATGCGACCTTATTGTGTTGCAAGTGCCATAAAACTCTTACAAAAACTAAACTCTCTTTACTCGTACTGTGCTTGGAAAAATGTGGGTGGTTTGAGGTGCCATTGGTAGGCCCTACTTCTTTTCTTCTCTTTACACAAACATACAAATGTTGAGAATGCCTGCAGAAGTGAACAGTGTGTGCTGCGATCACAAAACAAAATATACACCATTAGAGCTCACACTCTCACCCGCTGTGACAGAAGAATAAATGTCAAAACTCTCTGAGTCTACTTCATAACACACTGCCGTCCCTAATAGTGTTGGAAATGTCTCATAAACTAATCTGGAACTTGTTTTCTGTCCTGTGCAGGCCGCTGGCATACAGCACGTTGGCTGACCTAGTTCACCACGTACGGAACAACCTTTCCCTTCATGATCTGTCCCTGGCGGTCAATCTCTTCTCCAAGAATGTTCATGACGACTCCCTGCCCAGCAGCATCCAGACTATGTCCTGCAAGCTGCTGCTCAATCTGGTCGACTGCATCCGGACGAAAAGTGATCAGGAAAACGGAAATGTGGGTTGCTGAAGAGGCTTGCTCATCCTATTGTTATATATTTTAGTCTGTACTCATTAATACTGTCATAGCTTCTCTTTCGTTCTAATAAAGTTGTAAATACATGACTAAACTGGTGTGACTAATTAGACGGAGGGTGTCATTGGTCTCTCTCTCTCTCCCTCTTCATTGACCTATCTCCCTCCCCCTCCCCCTATCTCTTCCCCTCCCCTCTCTCCCTCTCTGTGTCTATCTTACTTTTTTTTTTGCGGACTATGTGTGCTCTCTTTACTCAGACTGTTTGTTGTAAATGAAAATCATTCTGTATCAGCTCTGAAAAAAGAAAAAATAGTACAGTGCACAGCACCAAGAGGCAGAGACAGCCCTAAAAACAAGGGAACACCATTGCTTTGGTAATTATCATGCTGGCTTACAGTGCTCATGACCCAGGTTCGATTCCCTGTTGTGGTGTTTTTGAGCTCGAGCTATTTGAGATTTCATGGTTTCCACCCCCACCTGGCTTGGTCCTATCTGAGATGGACATCAAGTCCATTGGCATTATCCATTAAATAATTTAAGTATTTTTAGGGGCCCTAAAACCAACTATGATATATGAATTTGTCCCCCCAAAATTCATAGATTTCTCGTATAGATGCTATGGTTGTTAAATGAAAGCCCTTTGTCTTGTAGACCAGATAATCTTTATCAAATTATTTTTTGAAACATTGGGGTTTCATTCTATATTTTGTTTCATTTCAGGGAAGAGAACTACTCCTGAGAATGTCTGAGGTTTTTGTGTTGAAGTTTAAAACTATTGCTAAGGTCCAGCTACCCTTGCTCCTGGCTAAATGGTAAGTATTATTGTTACTTTTTTACTTCTAAATTTGTTTCATGGCATATGGCCAATTTCTCACAGCGTTTACCTATGTTTTCTGGTGCAGCTGTCTTCTCCTTTTTATTCTAGTTTAGATGTGATTTTGTTGTTTCTTATGCTTTTCTGATGATTGTTATGTTTAAACTTGTCCTATTTATCACAAAGGATATTTAGTATAGACCAGACCTGCCACCCACCCCGATTTTTTGGCCCCAAAACTCAAGCCTCCCGATTTTCTCGATTTCGATTGTGTGCATTCTGATTCTTTGTTGTTGCGTCTGTTGGGTCCGATTTTTAGAAAGAAATTCATAACATTCTGCAATCTCTTGCTTGGAATCACTGATTGGACTTTTTATCGAGTGGAACTTGGGACGTTATTTTAAAAACATCAATGCCAGGTCTAGTTGTTGACTCATGCACGTTATTTCAACTAAATTCGAAGTAATATCGATTTTGAATTACGACTTGGATACTCTCAAGATCTATTTTCGCTTTCGTAACCCAGAATTCTCTGATGATTTTTAAAAAGCTTAAAAGCAAATTCATATTTTTAGTGTATTAAATTTTGGTGGGGTTTTTTTTTTTCTTCCCCTCAGCAAACCTTCAAATGAACCTTCCAAAATGGCTGAAGCAAAAGCCTTGTGCCCTTCGCCCACAACAGCCCAGGTGAGAATCGTTTGTGTACCTGTTTTTCTCAGATGCCTGTAACATTCTCCTCTTAACATGTGTTGAATCTTGATATATGTAAAAGGGACAACTTCTCTTGTTCTGTGCTTTGACACAGACTTTTGTTGAGAGTTGAGTGCATGATTATTTGCAGTTTACATCCATTGTGCCCTTATACTTGACTTAAGCAACATTGTTAATGAGTTGCAGTGTATGAAAAAATCATAAACAGGTTACATGTTTTGTTTCCATATATTTCACTTTGATTACCTGGTTTCTGAGTGGTAGATACTTGTGAATCAGACTGGTGTGACAGTGTATTCGCTTAATTCCATATGAACAGTCTGCAGGAAAAATGGGCATGGTCGCAAATAGAAAATTGTGAGAAAAAGAGTTTGTCTACTGAAAACTTAATTTAAACTTGTTTTGTTTAAAACTTTTTTCGATTTCCCATTCAACTAACAGAAATAATGAACCAACATGCGAACAGAAATGAATGAATTTATGAGCCTGGAAGTGTTTAGACCTGACATCCATATTATTTCCATTTAGAGGCTTTGCCTGTTTTTCCCAAGGAATCCTCATATATTTTACTTAGTTATTGTTGCAGTGTATGGTAAGCTGGTACCATAAACATTTGGTCCCACTGTTTTGTTTCACCCCAAAGAGATCAAGATATGTGTCGGTAAAAATAAGGGGATTGGGCACTAGAGCATCCACAAACCTCGCAGCATTGTAGGAAGTGTAGCTATCTTCTCAAAAGTTGGCCTACCATTGTGTTGTTTATTTGGTGGGGGGTGGGGGGGAGGGTTGTTTAAGATACTATTTTTAGAATAATACTTGTTAACACATTGTACATCTTTTTCTTGAACATTTCAATGTGCTTTCTTTAAGTGAGATTTTTTTTTGGGGGTACAGTTGTGATCACAGGATTAGGTACCTGCTGTTTTTTCTCCTTCCTACTTGCGTCCAGGTTGCTCAACAGCTGATAGCCTCGGGGGATGGAAAACTTCCGGACTCCATTAAGGATGAAAAACTAGTCCAGCTTTTCACAACCAGTGTGGAGGCCAAAGATAAAGAAGACAAGGTATACCAGTATCCCGCAAACATTGAAATTCTTTTTTCATATGTCCTGCAAACTTATTGTTTCTCTTTTATGTGTATTGCGAACATTTTCTTACTTTTACAAGTGCCCTACAAACATTTTGATACTTTTATTATATGTCCTATATGCATTTTGTTACTTTTTCTCCTGTTTCCTGAAATTCTGTAAACATTTAATCGTTCATTTTTCATTTTAAAAGATCTGAGACTGGAGGCTGGCACATAAGCTTCTACCTAATTCTTGCGTTTGACAGAAATAGAAGTTTTTTTGCATTGAGACAATTATGTTCTTTTCAGCCAATGATGCGTTTTGGAGCCATCCCCAATCACAACAGCCCGTACTCTGTGTCGGAGTGCCGCAGCTTGATGAAGACCCTCGTCTGTGGCGTGAAGACCATCACCTGGGGCATCCTCAACTGCAAAGCTCCGAACTCCAACATTGGTATGTATCTGTGTTATTGGACTTTTTTGGCAGTGTCTGTGGTGTAATTGTTACGCTTGTTAGGCATGTATTTGGTTCTGGTGTGGGGAGCATTCATTATCGAGTAGAGTATCTAATTCTTTCTGTCTGCTGAGATATTATGGTCCTGACAAGCAAGGTCAAAGCAGCCCGCCTTTAAAATGGGCCAAATTGTGTGGATAGAGGCCTAAAACATTTGCAATCATTTTATATATTAGGGCCAAGCAGTACTTATGACTGTAAATTTATCTCAGGGTAAGTAAAATTTTGTAATGGTGACTAGGGAAGTGAGTGATGATAAAAAGGGCAAAGAGTCACTGTGTGACATAGGCTGGTGTTTTGTTCATACAATTGACTGCTGTGTTTTTATTCAAGTTGCACTGCAGAGAAATGTTGTTGTTTTTTACTTCTTGCGTTCTTTTATAACTTATTGACAATGTTTTCATTGGAATTCTGATCTGCGAAGAACTATGATATTATATTATTCTAATCTTTCTCTACCATTGCAAAATTTCATCTTTGCCTCTCAAAGTTTGTTTCCAAGTTCTATGTGACAACTTGGTCATCAATACACAAGCTTTGTCAATCAGCTGTCTTTGGCACCATGAAACCTTGCGTAAATTGCATTCACAACATTACTTATGTCCAAACTTGTAAAAAACAAATGCTCTAGTACCTGCCGAGGTTATTGTAAGAGACACTCATTTTCTGTTGAGGATAGGTTTTTAGTCTTTTTCTGTCACTGTTAGGTTTTATTCCCAACTTGAATTCTATTTGCATTTCTGTCAAATGTCGAATTACACCCTGACTTTTTTGTTTCATTAGGGAGGGTTTTGCTTTAGACTATTCAAACCAAATTTTTTTTTCTTAAATTTAGTCGTAGTGCTTTTCCATATTGTAATTTTGTTTGTCAAAATAGGGGTAAAACAGGAAAGTAAACAGTGTCATGAGCAGCATAGAGATGTGCAAAGGGGCTTTTGAAAGGATGAAGCTATTGTGGTAGCTTATTTTGCCCTAATTGATTGCAGGAAGCAGCAAGACACTGATGCCAAAAGAGATTCTGGTGTACGTTCGCCTCCTGAAGTATGCGCTCAAGGCTCTTGACATTTACACAATTTGTGTGAACCCCAACGGGGGACTTTATGTGAGGTCTCAGAGGTAAGTCAAGCAACAAATCAACAAATATACTGTTGGCTGTTTGCTTTTTATCCCAATTTCTGTGTGCCACATTTATAAATATGTATATAAGGGGCATTTCTGTTATGATTGTTAGCATCCCACGCAGTAAATACATGGCAGTGTATTTTCATTTCTTTTGTTTGGTCTGTTTTTAGTTTTATAGGTATTTTATTTACCTGTCTTGCACTGTACTGTTGCATGCAAGAGACCCACGTTCAGTTTCCAAGTGGGGAGAATTTTTTTTAGATATTGTTATGCATATTGCCCAAGGCATTCTGAATGTTAAGAAAACAGGATGCATGGTAATGTCTAAAAAAGCAGTAAAGCCTTAGTTGTTAGCTCATAAACAAAGGTGAAAAGATCAAACAAGTTCAACAGAGTTTTATCTTAGATTTGTCATGACATCTGATGACAAATATTCCACGTAAATAGAACGAAAAATCACATTGGCGAAACTCATCTTCAGTAAAATGAGTTCAGTTCTGAAAAATAGAAACATGTCAGTGGCTACTAAAATAAGTTTTCTAAAAGGCAGTGTATGGTCAACCTGTCTATACAGCTGTGAATGCTGAATAACTGCCAAAGGTAATGAAAAAACAGAAGCGAGGGACATACGGTTTCTTAGGAAACAGAGGCCCGCGTGTGCCGCTGATGAATAAAAACAATTAGGAAGTCACAAATACAAAAGCACGGCTCTGCTTAAATGCTTTAAACATCTCGCTCTCTCAGGAAAAATAGTAGGCCAATGAGCCAGGGTAGACTCAGAGAACCTTGTAGAACTATGATTGCAGATGGCTGAGTCAGATCCATCGCTTTATGATGATGATCTCAGTTGTTCTGTTGGGATGTTATATCCCTCTCATCCCGAGTTGGTCCAAACAGGCAGGGTCGGAAGCCCACCTCCTAACTGATATAAATCGTGTTGATGCGAGCTAGAGAACACTTGTAATTTTTTTTTCTTGTTAATGTTTACTGTTTACCTATCTTGTTTTAGATATTCATTATATGTCTGTAGCTATGAGGGTAATTTTTTACTGTATTTTCTTTTTCTCTCTGTTCTAAAAATTCTATATGTTTGCTTATGTTTTTTGTGTATTTATCCCCTTATCCCTATCAGTGTGCAGAGCGTAAAAGTGAAAGAGGAAAAGGAGGCCCTGGAACATTTTGCTGGGGTGGTGAGTTGGAACTTATAGGCTAATTTTTTTGTGTAAAACACAACTAGTCTTATTAGTTTTGTATTGTTGCACAGTGTAGCAATTATTATATCCGGAGCAGTGTCTGAATTGTGGTTCTAAAAAAAACAGCAATGTATTTTAGATATTACTCTTGCCTTGTTGCTGCATATTGACAAGATCATCATTACGATATCCAGATCATTTGTAGTAAGTCAGCTGTTCAAATGAACTAAGCCCAAAATTTTGAATTTTAAAAGAGTTTAGTTTCTTATCTGTGGTATCGATTGCTTAAGCTCAAGAAATAACTCTTTCCGGACGTAGTTTTTTGGGGGGTCTGGACATAATTAACTTGTGGCTCGATTTGGCTATGTTGGTGTACAAAATAACTTTGTAGAAGCATAACCATCACTCTAAACGTAACATATGATATATCGATTTGAAGGAAATTGAATGAGGAATACATTCCAATATGAAACAAGGATTAGTTTTGAACATAAGTATGCATCAGAAGGGCTAGAAATGGCGATGGTGGTGAGAAAAATAAATTTTGACGGAAAAAATTACATTCACCTGACATGTGACAGCAAATCAGAATATAGCCTTCTTGTCGTATACAGGCCGTGAGCATAATCCATAAATTTCTGAATGCGTAGCTTTTTATTTGAAAGCAATATTACAATTTTTGTTTGAGTAATGAAATTTATACTGAGTCCAGTTACATCGTTTTGTTGACGCAAGACCGCAAGAACTAATTCACTCGTTTTTCTTAAATCCTTTTGGAGTTTTTATATAGCAATATAAAATAATTATAAATGACGGATCGTGTTAAAACGAAACAATACTGAGGCACCCTATCACAGCCGATTCAAGTTTTTTTAAACATTTTTTCCCCCATAATGCTGTGCAGTACTCGATAATTTACTGTGATATAAACATTTCGGCCATGAAAGTGCTCTTCTTTGAGTGAGAGGAGATGAAGACAATGCTTGATACTGATGATACTACTCATGTGGTTTAAGAGTAATGAGTACTCAAGCAGGCTTGACACAGCACTAGTGTCCTGCAGTTGTCTCATTTTTGTCTTTCCTCTGGGCAGTAATGTTTTTAAAAGGATTTATTGGGTCTGGCTGCAATGAGAAGGAAACATTGACACTGTTCTTTGGTTTTGTTCTCTTGTTTTTGTCGAACAAAGAAGACTTGTAGTCTGAAGAAAAGACTTGTGGTCTGTGAAGAAAGTATTCTTTGAAAATGGTGTAGACTTGATATAATTCGTGTTCTTCTATTTTACAGTTCACCATGCTGACGCCAATTTCTTTCAAGGAAATCTTTTCATCAGTCATAGAGGTAAGGATTACAATGATGTATTTTGTTTGTTAGTCAAGTGAAGACTCTTTTCAAGGAAAAAGAAGTCAGCCAATGGAACAGTGATAGTGACATGACAGATTTTTCAATTGCAAGATCGTGAAAGGATCATTTTTGTCACTGAATTCAGATCATGTTGTGAATTTTTCGTCTATCTAGTTATTGTGTAGATGTCAAAAGAATGAGTACCAAGCTGGTCAATGAGATTGTTATAGTACATCTTGTTCATTGATACACAATCTTTTTCTTCATATATACTAGGAATGATTCTGTGTTTGCTATCTTTAATTTTATCTCCTGGCTTTAATGTGTAGTTCGATTTTTCTCAATTATAGCTACTTCATATCTCATTATTGTCTTTTCTTTTCTGCCACATTGTTAACATTGCATATACAACACAAAGAAGAATACTTAAAAACTGATACAATGCTTATTTTCATACTTCAGTACATGGTTGACAGAATCCATGGAAACTTTGCACTGCAGGTACGTTTTTGTTTTGAAAGAATGTCTCAAGCGTGTTTTGTGGTCCAACTTTGGTTGCATCTGTGTGCCCGTCTCCCTCTCTTCCCCTCTGCTGTTCCTTTCTTTGTTGGGCTGCTTTTATCTCTACCCTTTCCCAACTCACTTGAACTGCTTCTTGACAAAGTCACGCATTGTGTTGTGAATTCTCATATTCTCATTATGCTATGGTGAGTGGTTGGAGGGTGCCAGTGGAAGGTCCTAATTCTTCACCTCCCCTTTGCTGTTTCTGTCTGTAACAGTTTTTCCCAGCACCAGTTGTCTAATCTCCTGGGCACATATTTGTAAAAATAAACACAGTCGAACCTGTGTAAGACAGCCATGCATTGAATTGTCGAGGAAAAAAAGTGGCCGTATAAGACTTAGACTGGTGGCCGTCATACGCAGGACTGGTCAAATTGAAGAAAACAAACCATTTACTTCTGAGGTCCCAACTGAAGGTTGTCACAGGCTTAGGACTGCTGTTGTAAGGCTCATTATAATAGATTTTGGGGGGTAGAACGGTTTTTGTGGGACTTTTTGTTGTTAGTTTTATTTTGGTTTTTTAAAAATTATGGTTCTGTGAAAGGTTAACACAAAACTAAATGTGTCAGATGAGAGAGGCCTAGTGTCATAGTAAAACAAACAAATGGGTCGCCACCACTCGACGAATGAGCAACAATTCTTTTATGAGTTAGGTGTTAACGTCCATTGTTATGGACTGAGTTGTGGGTGGGGCTTACAGGTTATGACGGATCACATGCTTCCCTTACCAGCAGCTGAAATTTTATTGTTACTCATTAGTTAACTTGAGTAAGCATTGGGAGCGACCCCTGCAATATGGCGGTTTCATCCATTGGAGGGACTGACAATAACAGGTGAATGAATTATGACGGGTTGTCCACAGCGTCAAGGAAAAATACACCATTTTTGACAAAGCCTGTCTGTCTCAGGGAGGTAAATTTGGTCGTGGGTTGATAAAATAGGGTGGCCGCAGCCGTGTTGGACCAGTGCCCGCTTTACACAGTTGAATTATATAAAAGCAAGTGGGGAAATGGAAAGTGGCTGTTTGTACAGGTGGCTGTATTATACGGGGGCCGTCATGGCAGGTTCGACTGTACTTAAGAGTAGTCTACTTTTGTGATCTATGAAAATGTCTCTTGGAAGTATCTGATAACACTTAACCCTTTGAGTTCTGGGACCCCTTGTGTCTAATGCTAGATGTACACCTCCACACGTTGAAGTGATGATAGGATGTGTAGAAGAAAAAAAAGGTAGAGTGCAGGCGTGGGCTCAGGTCCATTAGGCTAAGATTTACAACAAAATTTGTCTTCTCTCTGCTCACAGGAGGTTGGTGTTGGGATTTTGATCATGATGGTATTTTCAAGTATTTAACACTTTGCCATCACAAGGCTCATATGGTAAAAACCCTTGCCATCGAAGGCAAAGGCATTTTTGAGAAAATTCAAAGAAACTGGGTGGTAAACATCGCCAATCGGCGAGATGTGACGGCAGAGTGTTAAGGGTCAAGCGGGTAACGATTTTGGTCATTTTTCGATGAAATTATCAATTTTCTGGAAAGCAGCTTTTGAACACCATTGATCATTGCTGAATCAGATTTTTTGGTCCGTTTGATATAAAAAGTTAAGATAAGTGCAAATATGTCTAAGATAACCTCATTCCGCTCCCCTTGCAAAAACGACCGCTCGGCCACTTTTTCTCTCTTTTTTTGTTACATTTTTTGTCTACTTGGTTCTCTTAACTTCTTTTTTTTTAGGTTATTTGTAACTGTACAGAAAAGAGATTTTGCATGTGACTAGAAATAATAGTACATGTGGTACTGGAACCTCTAGAAGGAACTAACCCTCATACTACACAGTGACATTTTTAAGTGCGTTTTTCTCACAGCTATATTCTTGAAAGACCCTTTGTCCCTAGAATCCTAAAATCTCAGCTACTAATCAAAATACTGTGCTGAAACTTTTCACTCATGTGCAGATTTAGTTGTTACAGGTCACTGACTAGATTTTTTTAAAACGAAAAATGATTAATGCCTGAGAGACCTGCCTTCGAAAATCATTTTTTAAGTTCAAAATTTCAACAACAAAAAAGTACCTCACTTTGAAAGTCCTAGAAATTCCAGAATATTGGAAGGATATTTAAAAGCATCAGTCAGTTACCTATAGCTATTTCTACTTAATTGATTTTTTTTTTTAAAGATTAACATTATGCCTTTTCATTTTTAAAATTTTAGGGTTTTCTTAAGTCCGGTGTTACATAACATATTCATGTTGAAACTTTTTTAAATGTTTGAATTATTTCCTGGAGGATATGCCTATTATGTGAAAATTTGGTTTGAAAAGATATATTAATAACGGAAATAGCTTTTGTGAGGAGTGTTTGTGATATATCTCTGTTGGTTTGAGGACACAAATGGTATCCTCCTCTCTTAATTCTTTATTTCCCCCAATCTTGTTTCTCTCTGTGTATCTCACTTTTCCTTTCTCTAGTGGCTGTCATTTTTGTCAATGTTCTTCTCTTTTCTCTAAAAACTTTTTTATCTTTAAGAATATCTCTTGGAATTTTCTTTTTACATTTACAATTTGCAATATACTTTGATATTCATTTGCTCATGATGTTAGGATTTTGTTGCAAATGTATTTTGATACAATATGTACTTAGTTTTGGTCAGTGTGACATGATATTTTTTTTCTGATTACTTTACAGATTGTTGCAAACTCATTCTTAGCTCATATGTCCACGTCTGCGACATTTGGTACCATCGTTGTGGAGTATCTACTGGAGAGAATATCAGAGATGGGATGTGAGTTTTATTTTAATGATAGTAACTAAGATTTTCATTTTTCCTTGGTTTACAATAGTGTACATAGATAACTAGTTTTGATTCACCATTACATCATATACGTAAATGAGAAACAATGCAGTTGTGTCGAGAAGAGACAGTTACTTTCATTGATTGAACAAACTACAATTTTAATTCGCCATTACATTATACACTGTACAGAGGTATAAATGAGAAACAATGCAGTTGTGTTGAGAAGAGACAGTCATTTTCACTTGTGACTGAACAGAGAATTAGACTTGGAATAATTTTCTTTTGCCATCAGTTTCAGCATACTTTTCTTGCATATCTTTTTTGTCAGCTGCTCTTTGGAACTATTATTTCCTACTTTGTTTAATTTTTTATGAACAAATGAAGTGTAATCACTGTCCTTGGTAAAGACTTCTAGGATTTTCTTTTCTTTTATTATGAGTCTAATCTTTGAAATGTTTAAATACCAGCTCTGCACTGTTTAGAAGTCTTTGTATTTAACTAAATTTTTTGTTTTTACGTTTGTACTGACGGTTGTTTGGGTTGTTTTTTTCGGCAGCGAACATTGAGCGATCCAACTTGTATCTGAAACTGTTCAAGATGGTGTTTGGATCTGTATCTCTCTTTGCTGCAGAAAACGAACAAATGTTGAAGGTTGGTTCTCCTTGATCTCAGCTTTTTTTTTTCTCTATTGCTCAGAGGAGTTATTTTTGTATTTCTCCATGCCATAATGTGTTAAAGTTTTTGTTACATCTTGTCATTTTTTGTGTTAAATTGAGTTTTACAGACAGAAAAACTATATATATGTATATAGTATATATGTGATTGTTCAAGATTCTCTTTTTTGTGTCTCTCTAATTGGCTAGATAACGTATCATTGTGTCTCCTAAAAAAAATACCTAACTCTGCCCAGGTCTGCTGTTCGTTGTGAGCAACAAAAAAAAAGAACTTGGCAGTCTTTTGGTCTGGCTTATTCTTTTATCGTGAAATAATCTTTACTTTATTGCTGGAAGAATGTTAATACCTATTGGCCATGCAGAATTTACTGAGAGGACAATTTTGTGTGTTAATATTTTTTATTTGTCCAGCCACACCTCCACACAATCGTCAACCAGTCTATGGAGCTGGCCCTGTCGGCCAACGAACCGTTCAACTACTTCCTGTTGCTGAGAGCGCTGTTCCGGTCTATCGGAGGAGGATGTCATGACTTGCTGTACCAGGAGTTCCTTCCCCTTCTTCCCAATTTGTTACAGGGTATGTTTTGCCTATTTTACTCAGCACTGTCCATAATTGTTTCAGCCAGGGTTGAAACTATGGGCCTCCTAAATTATCAAAATAGTTGTTGACGGAAAACATTTGCAATCAATGAAGTCAATCATACACAAGACTAAAACTTTCCTGAAGCATGTTGTGTGCTAGTATTTCAAATGAACAATAAAAGAAGTGGAATGGCAATTTCAGATCTAAAATTTACATCTGTTACACATTTATTCTATTTTTCATCTATCTGTAAGAGTAATAGGTTTATACAGTGGAAGAGTTATGATTCTTTCATGAAAACCCTGATGTGATGGCATTTTTACTCTTTGGAAGTCGACAGGTCCTCTCTGCAGTATTATTTTAGGCCTGAGTCTCTCACTTTCCTGATAAGTTACTTTTTTCTGGCCCACTTCAGGCTTGAACAGTCTCCAGAGTGGCTTGCACCGGCAGCAGATCAAGGACCTGTTTGTGGAGCTGTGCCTCACCGTCCCCGTTCGACTCAGCTCCTTGCTGCCTTACCTCCCTATGTTGATGGATCCGCTGGTCTCCGCCCTCAATGGCTCGCAGACACTCATTAACCAGGTACCTCTAGCCAGTCACAAACTCCTTTCTTTTGCTTGCTACAAATCCTATTCTCTTATTCCCTTTCTGGCCACAAACTTTTTCTCTCATTATTCACAAACTCTTCTGCTCACTACCATAAACTCCTCTCTTGACATTGTTAAAAAATTAGGAGTATTATAAACTTGCAAATGATGATCAACAGAAGAATGTATGTTTCCTGCAGTGACTTTGCATGTGTGTGTTAGGTTCCTCTTTTGAGTTATTACTCTTAGTGTTGAGTCTTAAAGGCCACTTGTGTGCAGATTTTAGATTTTTTCCACGCATACACTCTTAAAAGTGAATATTGTTTTTAGTTTATTTCAAGATCTGCTTACAATGTAAAGTTTGCTCATTGGAACTCAGTGGTTTATATGGGATAAAGACCTTTTGTCTGTATTCTTTAGATTTAAAAAATTGTTTTCCTTATTTGATTAACTTCCCATTTCATTCTCAGGGCCTACGTACTCTGGAACTGTGTGTAGACAATTTGCAACCAGACTTTCTCTATGACCACATCCAGCCAGTGAGAGCTGAGCTTATGCAGGTTAGTGGCTTGTGGTATTGTAGTTTTGCACTCACCTCAGTATGCTGTATGTGGTTAGGCTACCAAGATTGCGGGTGGTTGGAGCATACTACTGGTAGGTCCTATTTCTTTTCCTTCCCTCTGTTGTCTGTCCTGCTTTTTCCGTACCCTAAATGGCTGTTACTGCATTGATGCGCTTCTAACTCAAACAATCCAGGATCATGATTATGTGGTTATGGGTTTGATTGAGAGGTGGGGTGTTGCGTCAGATGTGAGAGGGGTTCGGTTCTTCTATCACCTGTTTTGGTTCACATCCTAGAATAGGGCAATGCTCCGGTTCCCTCTCCCCATCAAAGAAAAGTAACTGTTTTCCGGGTTACTGCATCTGTGGTGAAGGAAAAAGTCTAAGCCTGAAGAAGGTGGAAAACTACAAGGGCCAGAATAGCAGAGTACTTTTCAGAACAAATTTCTTAATTTCATGGCAAATTTTCAAAGGAAGTAGAACCCATTACAAATTGGTATCATCTTTGTTCCCTTTCAAATTTAGCAGAGAGTGTGTGTCCATCGCATGCAAGGCTCATATGCCTGGTGAAATTCTGAGAAAAGAGCAGATATATTTTTATCTAGCTACTTTGAAGAGTATGGATGACATTAATCCTTATTAAACATTTGTTCTTATTGAACTTTAGGATGGCACGTGTTTTGCAAAAGGACACACTCCGTCAGCCACTTATATCTAAAGGAGGATTTCTGATGTTGCTTTTCATTCTTATGTAATCTGTGTTGTATTGTCTTATCTGTTCACTGTGGGTGGTTGGTGGGTGCTCTGGTGTGGTTTGCTTCTTCTTTCCTATGAAACATCCATCGTCCTTATCTCCCCTTCTTCTTTTTTATGTTTGTTACTCTTTTATAACACCTCTAATCTTCTGGGGCTCAAATGACCTTATGTAGTTGCGAGCGCCGTAAAACCCCTACTAAAACTGAACTCAACTTATCTGTTCACTGCTAGGACCTCTGTTTGTTTCATTTTTCTTGAAATTATTAATATGGCAAATGCTGTGATGAAGAGCCTTGACCATTGTGCCATTTCCTTCCAAGCACCATTGGTAGATGGACAGCACCACTGGTAGGTTGTCCTTTTTCTTTTCTTTCCTTTTGTTGTTTCCGTCTTTCTGTCTTTCTTTTCTTTGTAATCACCTGTTATTGCATCCACATGCTTTCTTTACTCAAATCTCCTAGCACTGTGGGTGAGTTGAGGGTGCAACAAGCATTATTAACTATTAGGTCATCTTAGTTCTTTTCTTCCCCACTTGTTGTTTCTGTATTTCTAGCTGCTTTGCCTTGCAGTCATTGCCTGTTTTTGCATCTACAGTCTTTGTTTACTCATACCTTGTTTCTCTAGGTGGTTTTTTTTTTTTTTTAAAGAAATGTTTTTGTGTTCCCCTCAGGCTCTATGGCGCACGCTGAAGAACCCTCAGGACGCAACAGCTGCTACTGCTTTCAGGGTCCTGGGAAAATTTGGCGGAGGGAACAGGAAGATGTTGATGGAGCCTCAGAAGGTGTGCATGATTATTGATCATGAATAGTGTATCTGGTTGAAGTATGCTGAATTTTGTTTGTCCTCAATCTGAAGGAGTTAACTTTCTTTCTCCTGCAGTTGTAACAGAAAACCTTCACATTTGTGCTTGTACTAATACAGATAGTATGATATAATGTCTGTAAATAAAATGGGAAAATATTGTTATGAGCATATAGGGTTGTTATAATGCATGCATGGAGACAAATGTTATGATGTGTTTTCATTATTGTTATAATGCATGCAAATTTGTAGCTTGAATAGAAATGTTATTACGAGTTTTTATGGTTGCTATTACACGTTAATATATTGTTTGAAGAAAAATGTTATGCGTTTATATGGTTATCGAAATCCTTACATTGCAAATTTATCGTCATCTTCAGCCTTTCTAACCCCTTTTACAAAGAATACGCCACCAGCACAAGTTCTCAATCAACTTTTACCTTGGGTTTTAGTCTCTACCTCTGTCCGGCTGTATCCCATCTGCGTAAGATCCTAATCTAAGTCCTCCCCCTCCAAGCGCTTGCAAATTTATAGTATGAAGAAAAATGTCATAAGTTTTTAAGATGGTCGGAATACATTCTGTTACAGAATTTGAAAATAAAGTCGTTTGTTGAATGTTGTTGTTTCAGATGCCTTATAACAACAAAGAAACTGTTGGTCCTTGTGTCAACGTCCACTTCCAGGAGAGTAAATCCCCCATCTCATTGCCTGTTGAAAAAGTGAGTTATTGAAGGTTTTACTGTAAAGGGAGTGCTGAATGTTTAAAAATCATAACTCTCGAAGATGTCCCTGGTATCTGTGTTGTTGTGTCTATTTCTTTTCCTTAGATGTTTATCCGTTTTCGAATATGACAGTGAATGTCTTGATCTTGCATGCCCGTATACCAAAATACAAGTAAATTTTTAGAAAGAATGAGAGCTGCATAAGCGAGAGCACACCTTTAATTTTGTTGCATTGCTGTCAAATGTAATAAGTTGATTTGGGGTTTTTTTATGTTGAGGATATGTGTTCGATTTTTGAGTGGGAAAAAGTTACTATTATTATAGAGTAGGTCTCCATCTGTCTACTGGGATTCTGTTTCCCACTGCTCGCAGGTTGGCTATGATTGTCAGGGTCAAGGCAACCTGCCTCCTACTAAATTATCTAAAATCGTATTGATGTGGCTAAAAATCAGTTACAATCTGTCAGTGAAATATCGTGATCCGGTATGCCCTTTTATCAAAATGTAAGCAATTGTATGAACAGAACAGGAGAAAAAGAAGGGAAGGGACGATAAGCCAGACCACATTTTAATATTGTACGTAACATCTCATTTTATCCATGTAGTTTAGAGAAGCAGGTGTGGATGAAAGGTCTGTATTTAGATGGTTTTGTTTGTGTCTAAATTTAATTCTCTTGTGCTTTTACTGTTATTCTTAAGAGACATGTGTGATGGGGGATTTTTTTCACAGGCTGTGGAAGCTGCTCTGACCACCCTGAAGAGTTCTTTGACTGATTCATTCCATCCCCGTCAAGCTTACGACTTGATCAGATGCTTCCTAATTTCTGTCATGAATCTCGATGATGAGAAACAGATGATGATGCACTTGTTTTCACACCCAAGGTATGCCCAGTCTCTGCTTTGATTAGCTACTTCTATTATCTAATTGTGGTGGCCGAATTTCGCTATTCAAAGGGCTTTTTAATGGCAGCACCGATCGACATGCAGTTTTCGCCAAAAAATTCTTTAAAATATTCCCCAGATCATGACGCCCTTGGATTTTTTCAGTTTTGAGACAGTTTGGATGCAAAAAGCTAAATTTCTTTATTTCGCCGATCGCTTTTGTAGGCCGACGCTTCTGTCTCTGTAATTTTACCAAATCCAGAAGTGATATTTCACGAGGCGCATTTTGTTTTGAGAGTATAGAACAAGACCTTCTAATTTTTTGCATTTCTCAAGATTAATTTTTTATTTATTTGTTAGTCTCTGGTTTTGTAATAAAGTAAAGACATTATTAGGCTCTGGTTTTGTAGTAAAGTGAAGACATAGCATGTTTCCTTGATTCACAAGAGTATGTATTTGAGAAAGTTTTTATTTGTTTATGGTTTTAGCTTCAAAGAGAAAGAGATCAGCAGTCTACCAGCTCAGGGCTACAAGAACCCAGACTCGCACTCCAGACACGTCCACGAACAGGCTCTCACTGGGATGTTTGGTATGTACAGCTTCCTTGCAATGTAATTATGATCGCCAAGGGGTGAATGTCAACAAAGAAGTCTAAATGGGGAATCAGGCTTACTCTACTCACCTCTCTAGCCTCAACAGCACAAAGTATGTTTCCAATATCAAGGCACCTCGGATATAGCAGTTCACTAGAAGTAGATGAAAAATGACGGATAATAAGGATGAGGAACCAAAAAGCAGCAGTTCCCCCTATGTTGTTCGGCACTGAATGAGCATGACATCGATAAATCAGCCCATTTAAAATTCTACTGTGCATAAGAACATGTTAACATCCCCCTTTTGGAATGGCTGAAGACACTTCTGTCAGTAGCACTGTAGAGTGCCTTTTTCATCCATCCGTGGCAACCAATGCAAGAGCAAAATTTGTGTTTGGTTTTTTTATAGTTGACAAATGGTTCTTTTTAATAAGAAATTTACCTAAGTTTATTACTTTATGAAGAACTGTCACTGATTTTGGAAGAATGATGGGGTTTTTTATCAGCTTTTTCTTGCATCGCAAAATTAATGTTTTTTGCTAGGCTCGATTGTGAATCTCACACCAATTAGACGCTCAAAGGGTACTTATTTGAAAGAAGTCTTTGTGAAAGGAAACAATCTGGGCTTAACATTTTGTTCTTTTGCAGTTGCTGCAGCGATCAAGGACCTGCGTCCCACAGCCCTGCCCTTCATGGCCTGCATGGTGCGTCACTACACACTCATCACGGTGGCACAGCAGTGTGGTGAGTGGCGGGTACACACCTAAAGAGTTGTACTAATGTAGGGGTTGGCAACCTTATTTTTTATGGAGGGGCTATTGCGAAAACTCTGATCAAAAGCACAAATAAAAGATTATGGAAATGGCATTTAGGTGCTTTAACTGTTTTTTCTTTAAGTGCCAGATCTGAAATGGACTCTCATGGTCATAGTTTACCAATATCTCTATTTGGATGCTCTTTAAAGTAACATTATTGTCCTGGTCATTTCCTGTCACCCATCTGCTGATGTTCTCAAATTATTCTTGGTCTACCTCTGCCTCTTTGGCCTTTTATTTTTTCATAAGCGCTAGATGTTCAAGGCCTTTATGTCAGTCCATTGCTTGAGCATTGCCCTCAAATCAAATCTTGTCTTCGTTTTCCCAAAAAGTGATTGCCAAAATCAGGTGGTCAAACTTTCACGTTGCAGGTGATTGGCATACATGTACTCTGGTCCTTGAGGTTGTTTTAGTCGTACCAAAATAGCCTACTCATACTTATGATTTGGGCCATGTGAAAACAGGGTGGAAGGGGAATAGACAGGTTGTAAGTTGTTAGGGGGGGGAAAAGGGGGGGGGGGGTTGTTTCAAGTCAGTTAAAGTGCGGAAATAACATACATGTGGAGCAATAATGGAGTAGAACTTTAAGATCTTGATCTTACTGATTTTTTTAGCAGAGTATGTGATATCATTTTTTGTCCTGCCTGACTGTAGGCCCGTTTCCCGTTGGAGACAAGCAGACAAAGCTCCAGGGGATGGACACACAGATCCTGGTGGATGCGCTGACCACCATCATGGGCCACGAGGAAAAGGAGTTGTGCAAGCCTGGCAACGTCTCCCTCTGCATCATCATCGACACTGCCACCTCCATCCTTGGCTCTAAAGAAAGGGTCTGTGGAATAGACTGTTATCTTACTTCTTGCTTGCTTGCTAACGTGCTTACTTACTTGCTTACCTATGTTCATAACACCTTTCCATCCTTACCAACCCTTTGACCGACCTGTTAACCTACCTGCCTACCTCCTGTGTACGTCCCTTTCAAGCTAGTTAGCTAACTGTCTTCCTTCTTAGGTTCCTAGTAAAACTCTTACAAGAACTAAAAATACTTACCTACTTACTTATCGATTTATGTACCTGCCTGCCTGTCCATCTACCTACCTACTCACCCACCTACTTGCTGTGGACCCTTGCGGAGCCCACAGTTTTAAAGATCTAAATTGTTTTGATGGGGATGTAAAAGTCAACCCAAGATCTAGGTCTAAATCTAAATCCATTTATTGAATCCCCATCACGAGCACCACCTTTGCTTCCATGACTTACTACTACCACTGCACGTGTAGTCCTTAGTTAAGTTGTTTTCATCTCTCTTTCCTATTGAAGTACGTTGTTCATCGCTGGCTTGCTCCATGGTGAAATAATGACAATTTTCAAATAAAATTGACACTATTTTTATTTTATGGAGTCTACCATTTAGAGGGGGGCCAATTCCCTCACTAAATGTAGAGTTTAGAGCCGATAGGCATATTAGTTTAATGCGTGGTCCTGTTTTCTCAAAACAGTTGCATATTTACACCAGTAAACCAAGAATCTAGCATAGCCAAGTGTCTGTGTATGCCCAGGTGACCAGTTATACGGTATAACTTGGTTAGAATTTTCTATTGTAGGAGAAATGCATTACAATGTATGGTTTCTGAGAAAAAGAAAATACTCATAACAAAAGTTGAAATGATTTTATTTTTAATGTATATGTATGCCCAAGAAACATTTTAAAAATTAATGAACATCTGTTTAACAAATGTTAGGAGAGTATGGATAAGACAGAAAAAGACAGGTTCATTTAAATCTTTCTTTTAAAAAGAGTATTCTTGTCACTGGCCATGAAGGTGCAGCTGGTAGACCGGTATGCTCGACAGTGGTCAGTAAGGTGTTAAATAACATGTTGTTTTGCTTTCTTCCTTTCCTGCAGGCGTGTCAGCTCCCACTGTTTGAGTACGTGGCCGAGCGCATGTGTGACCTGTGCTATCTGCGGGCGTGGTACTCCAAATATGGGGGGTAAGTGAGTCTTTTCTACCAGTGAGCTGAACTTTTTGTTGTGTCAATCATATTTGTGACGGATTCTTTGGAATACAATCCTGGTTCAAAAACGGGGGCACTGCACAGTGACAACAAGCAATACGCGGGCCGTATTGCATACAGGCGTATCTCAAAGGCCCCGAAAAATGATTTATGTCTGTATACAATACTGCCCGCGAATAGTGTGTTGATTAGTTAAATATGGATATGATATTGTGGATTGTGTAACGTTGTGGCATTTTGTATGTTGACAAATTATTATATATTTATGTATGTTGACAAATTATTTTATGTCTGAACAGTTATTAATTATTAAATGTTTTATGTATGTATCTACATTGACAAATTATGTATGTATATTGATAAATTGTGTATGTTATATGTAATTTGTTCAATATCTTTGTGCATCCCCGCAGATGCCGAGCCATCAAATCCCTGTATGAGCGCATGAGCTTCAAGTGGGTGTTAGACCATCAGTACATGTTCCTCAAGGCTCTTCTCTTTGTCATCAACGACCTCACGATGGAGGTAATTTCATTTGTCCGGTTGATAAAGTAGAGAACATTTGTCACAGTAATAAAGTTGGTTGTTTCCGTCATATAGTTTTGATCTCTCTTTCGCTCTCTCACTCTCTCTCTCTCTCTCTCTCTCTCTCTCTCTCTCTCTCTCTCTCTCTCTCTTACTCTCCCTCCCTCCTCCCTCCCATTTTTATTTTGTTTCTCTTGTTTTATACACATTTTTTCTTTCTCTCTTCTCTGCTTATTTCTCTATACTTCACATCCCGGTCAGCTTCTAAAGTTTTAGCAAAAGTCTCAGCCAGAGGTGTGACCCTATTTCTCTTTAAGAGTTTTTCTACTTTATCTTGTCAATATACCTTTCTTCACTCCAAATTGCAAGGCAGTGTGTTAGTAATTCTTTTGAAAGGGTTTAAACGATGACAGTACAGAATGTTTATATGCGGTTTGTGCGCCTAAAGAGTACTCTGTGGGTGGTTGGTGGGTGCTCTGGTGTGGTTTCTTCTTCTTTCCTATCATCTTTTTCCTCTCCTACTTTTTTGTGTTTGTTACTCTCTTGTAACACTTCTAATCTTCTGGCGCTCGTATGACCTTATGTAGTTGCGAGTGCCGTAAAACCTCTACTAAAACAAAAATTACTACAAGGCAGTGTGTTAGCAATTCTTTTGAAAGGGTTTAAATGATGACAGTACAGCATGTTTGTATGCGGTTTGTGCGCCTAAAGAGTACTCTGATATCCCGTGCTTTCCCCAAGGTGTCGAGTGGGGCGGTGGAGCTGGCCCAGAAGTGTGTGGAGGAGATGCTGAGGATGTGCGCACGGCCGTTGGAGGGAGAGGAGGCCACGGAGGAGCTGGTGGCCGCCCAGAAAAAGTCGCTGAACGACGTGGCTCAAAAGCTCATCCCACAGATCACGTCCTCAAACATGCTGGTCCGACAGCAGGTAGGGACGTTGCCATTGTCTTTGTCGTCATCGTTCTTGTTGGCATTGTTGCTGATGTCGGTGGGTGGTTGGCGAGTGCTCTGGTGTGGTTTGCTTCTTCATTCCTATCAAACATCTATCTTATTTATCTCCCCTTCTTCTTTTTTGTGTTTGTTACTCTGTAGTAACACCTCTAATCTTCTGCACTTATATGACCTTATTGTGTTGCAAGTGCCGTTAAACACTTACTGAAACAATTGCTGTTTTGGTCGTTGCTGTTGTTGTTGTTGTCATTGTTTTGTTCATCGTTACTGTTGTTGTCATTGTTATTGTCGTTGCTCATTCGTTTAGGGGGCTTACTTAGATCAGGACTGATTGTTAATGTTTTTCTGTGTTGGACACCGTCGTTGACACAGTTTAGCTTTATTATATGGAAGACGGGTATCTCAGAAGACTTACTCCCCCGCGGCAGTGCTACTGACTGAAATGTCTTAAGGCCATTCCCAAAGGGGGGACATAAACCATGTTCTTTTGCTCAGTAGAATTGTAATTGTAAATGGACTGGTTCATGAATGTCATGCTCATAACTGTTCCTGAACTACAACAGGGAACTGCTGCTTTTTCTTTCCTAATCCTTACTATCATCGTTTTCCTCTACTTCTTATGTATGTTTGTCACTCTTGTGAACTGCTATATCCGGGGTGCCTTGATTGTATTAGCAGACTTTGTGCTGTTGAAGCTAGAGAGATGAGTAGAGTAGGCCTGATTCCCTGTAAGGACTTCTTTGTTGACATCCACCCCTTGGCGCTCATATGACCTTATGCAGTTGCGAACGCTGTAAAACCTCTATTGAAACAAACTATCAGAAGACTGATTGAGATACTTGTGGAAATGTCTTTGAATGAAATAAATATAAATTGCTATGATAGGAAGACTGGTGTGGTGGGGGGAGGGGGGTCGGCTCATGTCAGTAGTGATGTCTTTGAAAGAATTAAACTGGATATGGGAAAAGAAGAGAGAATTGTCATAGGCTCTGATGGATAATATCTTTGAGACAAATACATTTTCCCAACAGCCCACCACTCATCATTTGTCGCTCTCCATGCTTTTCTCCCTGTAGTGCATGAAGTCCCTGAAGGTGCTCGCGGAAGTGACCAAGAAGTCGGTGACTGAGATTATGGCTCCTCACAAGGAGCTGCTGCAGCAGATGGTTCCTCCCAAGAAACTCCTGCTCCGACACATAGCCCTCAACTCGCAAATCGGCATCATGGTAAGGGAGGGTGGCTGGATGGTTGGTGGTTAAAGAGTGTTCAGGCTTATGTTGCCTGCACTTTTTCTTTTGTTTTTAATTGTGCTTGTCTGGTTTATTTTGTTGTTTTGTTTTTGTTGGGGGGGGGGGTTTGTTTTGTTTTTACGGGGAGGGGGGGGGGGGGGGGGTTCGTGCTCTCAATGCAGAATATTAGTACCAAAAGTTCTGTGGTGATCCTAAATTGGATTACAAAATCTCCCATATCTCAAAAACTACCGAAGATATCTTAAAAATTCAAAAAGCATATTGTTCAGAGATGATCTCTTGACATGAAAATGCAAAAAACCCGGGATTCTTCAAAATGCGTCATTCTGTACCTTTCACCAGGCACACACAGGTATTTTCCAATTGAGACAGTGCATAACTGTGTACACAACAACTTCTGTATCCCCAAAACAGTATTTTTCATCATGTAAAACTTTATGCTTTTCTTTACTCAAATAAACATTTTACTAATATTGCCTCTGACAATGGTGTATTTCTTTCTGTCCTTGCTGGGGCTAACAGGAAGGCTACACTTTCTGCGTGACCCTTGAACCGCGGCTGTTCAACTTTGACTCAAGTCAGGTGGAACATGGTGTCTTCTTTCATGAAGTGAGTGGTTTTTTTAATGTCTTGCCAGTTCTGCTTTTGAAAACGGTTAACGTCATAATATTTGTCACACTTCTGTCATCTTCCTCCTCCCATTCCTATCCCCTTTGCATCACCTCCCCATTCCAATCCCATCACATTCACACACACACACACACACACACACACGCCTTCATTCTCACCAACGACAACCCCCCCTCCCCCCTTTTTTTTTGTGTGTGTGTGTATCTACAGTAAAGGTTTGAAATTGCTGAACAAGTTCTTAGTCCTTTTCTTTATTTGCCAATTTTTTTTGGTCTTTTAGGAATACATTGCACTCATGACCGGCTGTAAAACTTGTACTAAACTGAACTACTATAAAGGAATACAGTAACTTGCTTCTCCTTTGTGCCTTGCAGGGTTGCAGTTGGCAATGATTACATGTGATTCTGATAATGAATGAAGTCAACACTTATGGTGTCACATTTGAAACCTGAACCATTAACAATATAAAGGCACCAGCTGTCTTGTCTAGGTGCTATTTTCAGCCTCGCATTTAGGTAGGAACTGCTAAGAAAAATCACAAGCACATTTTTGTTTGGTGTTATCATCACTAAAACTTGATTCAGATTACTATAATTTACCGTTAAGAGTTTCAGGAGAATCTTGAGGGTTGGCAACTCTAAGATTGTCTTGGCAACTGCAGGATTTCATATGCTGTAATGGATTTTGCTTCTGTGATCAGTTTAGTACATATTTGTACCTTCAGGTGCTGAACATCTGTGACGTTGAAGATGCTGTTTTGATGAAACAACCCTGTTACAAAAACGCAACCAACCTGGTTCCTCTCAAGAAAAGTGCACTGCGTGAGTACTGAACATTGACTGTGACGGGATTGTTTATGGTTAGGTTCATAGGTTTGACGATTAGTGTTTTGGGGCTGGTGGTTGGAGGGGGTCATTGGTTGGTTCTTCTTCTTGTCTTTCCATCTTTTGTTTCTGTTTGTCTTACTTTTACCCAGCATTAAATGGCTTTTATGTGCTGAGGTACTTCTCATTAATCCAAACTCACCCTTGAAGTTATTGTTTTAGTAAGGTTTTACAGCACTCACAACTGCATAAGGTCGTATGAACGCCAAGGGGTGGATGTCAACAGAGAAGTCCAAACGGGGAATCAGGCTTGTTCTGCTCACCTCTCTAGCCTCAACAGCACACCCTTGGGGTCATATTTTTAATTCATGATACGAATGAAAATTTGCAGTGATTGTAAATGGTTTTACACCCTTAAGAAAACAAATGTAGATCATTTAGGAGGCAGCCCGTTTTGACCGTTGATATCGGGATTAAACAAAGCTGTTTGGGTATGTCCAAGCAGAAAGCATAGATTTTTATACAGAATGTTTTCTTTGTGTGGAAGGCTTTGTTTTTCCTCCATACATCATTCATGGTTGTTTTCTTAATCTAAATGTGACATTCTTTTGTTTTTCCTTCTGTGCATCATCAATGGTGGTTTCAAGGTGCTCTTGCTGCCTGCAATCTGGTGCTGAACAAGAAAGAGAAGATCTTCAATACTTTGTACAAGGCCCTGAACAGTACTAATTCAGAGATTCAAGAAACTGCGCATGAATCTATGGAAGTGGTGAGAAATTTTTTACACACACATACGCACGTACACACACGCACGTACACACACACACACCCCACCCCTGTTACATCCATAGTTGGAAGAATCATTTTCATATTCTTTATATTAATTTTCAGATGTTTGTTTTGGTTTTTATTAAAAAATAAATTCTTTGACCAATTCTTTAAATATTGAAACACTTTGAGGTAAAAGTGATCAGTGCCAGTGTGGTTCATAGAAATTTCTGCCTGCCATTTTCTTCATGAATATATCCTGTGTACCAGCTGTTTCAATGATGTTTAGAGATCAGTATGACTGTTCTGGATGACACTAATTGTGAAATTTGGTATCTTCATTTTGTCATCATAGTTATGTGAATAAGGTATGCGGCACTAGTTTCTGCTGGAGTGGCCCAAAGTTGACAATTCTGAAATTGTTTGTCTTAATTTGAATTCATTTTTCTTATGAGCTGCCTTAAATGTTGTCTTTGAAAAGCAAATTTTTGCTGCAACTTGTTTTATTTCTGGGTTTTGTACATTTGTTTCGAACAAAGATTTTGTCCCATCAACCATTCCCCCCATTCACTGTTTGCGTAAGTGTATGAGGTCTTTCCCAGAAGTAAGTCTCCCTATTCTGTAAAATCGTCCATTTATATTTTGACAATAATTATAGTTATAATAGCAATAGAGATCAGTTCTATAATGCCCACTCCCTGATGGCTCTCGACACTTCATGATAAAATAAAATTTTAATCAATGTTTCATGTCTACTGGCCCATTCAACATACAACAATTCTTTCAAATATGTAATATACAATTGCAATCTGACAAAGAAAACAGAGATACAAAAAGACAGTCACAGTGGTTACTGATCACACTTGCTGTTAGAAGAAGAATAAAGCTAATTAGTTAAATGAGATTTTAATAAATGTGTTTATAGAACAGATTTAATTGCAGTCATCAAAGTAGGCGCTACTCTTAAATGCAGTGGGAGAACTTCCACACTGAGGGGGCAGGTATAGAAAAAAGACCTACCTCGTTTGTTGTTGTTGTTTTGTTGTTTGTTTGGTTTTTCTTTTTTGTTTTTACTGACATGGAATTTTGTGCGTGCCTACAGAAACATGGTTTCTATTCAGCATAGCACTCTTTGATCTCAATGCGCTTTTTCATCCAATGTAGCCCAAGGGTCAAACACAATGACTGCTGTCCACTTCAGCTGGAGTCCTTAAGTACAGAATTTGTTTGAGCACATTTTCCTCCCCGTCTTCAAATCACTGTTCCCTTAGTCCGTCTTTGGTTTTGGGGAAGAAATGAAAATCACCTGGAATATAGCGACTGATTATTTTAGAAGAATCATAGTAGGACAAATTTCATGCCTGTAAGATAAAAGTTGTTCCATTTACAGAACAGGAAATTTTTTGGTCACCCATTCCATCATTTATATTGTTTACTTTATTTCATTTCTCAAATACCTCAATTTCCACAGCTCATGAAGGGATGCAAAATTGAAGTGGAGATGGCGTATGCTTCCATGAAGCCTCTGCTGTCTATGCTGGGGGATTATCGGGGACTCAACCTCAGTGTCATCAAAAGGCTGTCGTCGCTGGTGCAACTTTTCCCACACACCTTCAATGAGAAGCTCTGCGATTCTCTGCAGGTCAGTCCATCTTTTTAAGCAGATATGCACTTTTTCTTATGCCAATGAATTTACATGTCACTTTTTACTGTCGTTAGTGTAAGTAAGAAATTATCTAACTTGCATTGTTATTGTAATCTGCACTGCTGATATGGATTCAAGCTTGATATGGTTTTTTTTAAGGTTTTTAAGAAATGAAGTATTTGAATTGACTGGGATATATTACCCTTGACACAGAGTGCTTCAATTTCTTAATGAACTATTTATTAAGTTCATTAGGATGTTATACAGGCTTAGTGATAACAAAGACAAATCCCTCTGATACAGAGCACCAAACATTTACAAACAAAAGCGCAAAAGTTTCAAATAGGTTGAAAAGAAATATTTTAAGAAATCATAACAATTGTAACCCCATCCGTAAAGATTTAATCCTTTTTTAAAAAAGAAATTTGTTTAAATGCTTGTTTGACATAAAGGGATTTTCTTGGTGCTAATACTGGTACTGAGCTCATCATCAAGGAATAGTTTCATAGTGGCACCCAGAAAATAGCTTCTCAAGCATATTTTAACCTCATTTGTACTCAGTTTGCGGGTTCAGGACCTATGTCCTCGACCTCTTGGGACTATCAAAAGCCTTGTCTCCCCATAAATTGGCATTATACTAACAGAGTATTCATAAATGAACTGGTTAATGTGTTTGCTGAGGTATCAAACTGTCGAACTACAAAAACTGGGTGGGTGGTTAGCGGGTGCTCTGGTGTGGTTTGCTCCTTCTTTCCTATCAAACATCTATTGTCCTTATCTCTCATCCTTTTTTTAAAAATGTATATCCTCTTGTAACACCTAATCTTCATCACTTATGGGACCTAATTGTGTTGCTAGTGCTGCAAAACACTTTAATAAAACAAGGCTCCTATAATGTTAACATAGTAATCAGAAAAGGCTTACTTCTTGCAGACCCACTTGAAGAGGTGGCTTGAGACAGCGGCTACCAACCAAAGCAAAGGTCAACCACGCCCGGCCGGACAAGTGCTGTCCAATGCAAGTAGCTCTGTTTTGTTTTTGTGGGTCTTTGAGTCTACTGTAGTTTGAGGGTTTTTTCAGAGAAGGACAATTGCTGTACACTGGGTTTTTGGGGGGTTTTTTGTTGTTTCAAACATACTGAACTGCTCAAGAGACGAGACTGGTGCTGTAGAATGCTAGAAGCCATGTTTTGCTTTTTAGATTTCTGTCTACATTGTAGGTGTGTAGGTGGTTGGAGGAAACCACTGGTAGAACCTACTTCTTTTCTTTTCCTCTGTTTGTCTTGCCTTTTCCCAGCACTAAATGACCGTTACTGCATTGAAGTGCCTCTCTTTACTCAAAGCAGCAACCTGTTTGCCTTGTGACCACTGCTATATGTTTCCATCCATGTTGTGACCCCCCTGCTGTGAGTCTGTGAAGGGTGTGAAAGCTCAATCATTATAATACTTCGTCATTTTCATTTGCGTTCAGAGTTTCATGTACCAGATTAGTAATTAATCTATTCTGGTGTGTAGCTATAAGAAGCTGGTTTTTGTTTCCCCAGTATTGTTTTAAGTATTTTTTGGCCTGTTAAAAGGACCCAATTTATTATTGTGTTTGCTTGTCATAGTTTATGACACCCAATCTGTCTTGTGTTTCCCAAGTTTTATTTGAAGTTCCCAATATTAAGTTTTATTTCCGTTTTATATAGTATAAAGCACCCCTGTAATATAGTATAAAATATATTTAGTATAAGTATCCAGTTTATCATCGTGGTTCCTTGGTTCAGTTAAAAGTGTCTTGCACTTAGTTATTTATCCCATTTACAGCTTGAAGTAGGGGATTTATCCTACTGTTTTTTCATTACTGTAAAAAGAATATCCAATATTAAGTTGTGTTTTCCTTTCATAGTTTTGAGTACCCAAGTAATCCATTTCTCCCTGTTCTGCACCCTTTTCCCTTGATCCTGTCAGAGATGGACATTGAATTTGAAAGTCCCACCTCTTATATGACCACCACATTATGACCTCACAGGGATTACAGGGGCGTTAAATGCACACGTCACCATTTGTCATAGATTCAAATGGTATAATTATCAGTGTTACTTTCATAATTATTATCCATGTTATCTGTAATAGTAGAGGAAGTGATAGTATTAGTATCATTATCATTATTATTATTGTTGTTATTATTACTACTACTATTATTGCTGTTATTATTATCAGTTTTATATTATTATTTTTACCACTTTTACTATCATATCATCATTTTTATCATGACTATTACGAGGGCTGTCCCACGGAAAACCGGAATTTGGCTGTAATTTGAAAACTATTCAATATTTTCACATTCTGTAAACGCACACTTGTAAAACAATCATTTAGAAATTTCCCGATTGAGCACCATGAGCATCGCACAAACCAAACGAGCACAGCAGTTCTCAAAAGATGGCTACCCCCTTGGAAAATTGGTCAAGGGTAGAAGTGAGGTCTGTCATTCGGTTTCTGACCGCAAAAGGTCTCAAACCTCAAGAAATACACACTGAAATAAAGTCAGTTTATGGGGAGAAAGTAATGGCAAAGTCACAGGCATATGAGTGATGTAGTAAGTTCAAAGCTGGGCACTCCGATATCAATGACAAAATTTGCCCAGGATCTTGTTTTTCTGCCAAGACTGAGGACAACAAGAGTCGCGTTAACGAACTTGTTCAAACAGACAGGCGCCTAAAAATTCGCGAAATTTGCGAGTCGCTAAACATTTCAAAGTCGACTGTCTATAGGATAGAGTTTGATGAGCTGCACTATTGAAAGGTCTCTGCTTGATGGGTTGGGGCCGAAAAAGACCAGCAGGGTCATTATGCAGCATGGCAACACAACGCCACACACCGTAAACGTCACGAAAGACTGGTTCCAAAGGTTCGGCTAGGAAGTTCTACTACACCCCCCTCACAGTCCTGACTTGGCCCTGTCAGATTATCACCTTTGTGAACCAATGAAACGCCATATTTCTGGACAGCGATTCCCCGACGACGAAGACCTCGTGGAAGCCGTGAACGATTGGTTGAAATCCCTTGACGAAAGATTCTTCAGGGAGGGTATGTTCTCCCAGATCCAGCAATGGGAAAAATGTGTCCAGCGGGATGGTGATTACATTGAGAAATAAAGTACATGTTGAGGTATGATGTGTTACAGTTTTATTATAATAGGACAAAGATTTTTGCTTTTACGGACCTTTTCCGGTTTTCCGTGGGACAGCCCTCGTATTACCATTATCACCATTGTATTATTATTTTCATTATTATTGTCGTTATTATTCCGGTATCTCAGGAGGTCCAGCTGTGTGCGTCTATCATCAACATCTTCCACCTGATCCCGGCCGCCAGCAAGAACCTGATAGAGCCACTGACGGCTCTGGTCCTGGCAGGGGAGAAGACTCTGCTCATGGAGGTGACTGCTGACTCTTCTTCCTCTCATCTCACCGTAACCCTTTCTTTACCAACTTGTGTTTCATGCGCTCATATGACCTTATGTAGTTGTGTCTCACTCAGATCTATCTATTCCTGGCAAGTTGTAGCTGTTGTCGTGCGAAAAGCTATGAATAGTCTCAAATGAAAATGTTGTTTTGTAATGTTCTTATGGGTTGTACTCATAAAAGGTGCAATTGTAAAAACTGTAGCTATATGGCCCTTTTCAAAATAAATACATTTTGTGAGTTAATGTTTTAAAAATTGTCATGCCAACAATCATTTTATCTGTTGAATGCCGATGGTTGAAGGGTGCAACATGTAGATCCTACTTGTTTTCTTTCCCTTGACTATTTTTGTCTATCTTGCAACCAATCAGCCTGCATTGTTTCAATATGCTCCGCATTACTCAAGCCAACCTAACTAATATTAAGAAGCTCATGATGAATTCTGTGCTCCCTCTTTACTTGGCAAAGTGCATGGATGTAACATTGAGTGAGGGTTTGTTTTCTCTATGAACAGTCGAGCAGTCCGTTCCGTGCTCCGCTTATGAAGTTCCAGCTACGCTATCCAAGTCAAGTGGTCGACCTCTTTCTCTCGGAGAATGCCCTCAAAGATCAGAGATGGTGCCGCTATTTTGAGGTAAAGTTTTCATATTAAAAGACACCCTTTCGCTCCCTTTTTGTTCTCTGCAGTTGACTGTAATAGAAAGCATTGGTTGAATTTTTGTTTGTTTCTTTGACAGGCTGCACAACATGCTTACCTGTCATGTCGTATTATTATGTGTCGATGTTAAAGCCAACTTTAGGATCAATAAAACCATGATAATCCTGAAAATCTGAAAGTCTATACCAGAGACATTTGGTTTAACCCTCTTGTATTTGTATTAAGTTACACCAAAAAATTTCTGGGTGTTAATTTGCTGATGATGTTGAGATTTATCAGAAACAAAGGCTGTAACAAACTTACAGAGTATATAAGTGTCATCATTGTTTTACATTTGATTGCTTTTATTTTTTATTTTTTTTTTGGGGGGGGGGGGGGGGGGGGGGGCAAAGGATTAGCTGAAATGGTTCGATGTTTAGTGTAAAATAACTATATTTGCCTTTTCAGAATTTTTTTGTTTCTGTTTTTCCCCACATAGCTCTCTATTTGGAAGGGTTCTTAATGATTAAATACTTCTTTGGCAAATGAGTGAATGATTGAAGAATTATTTTTTGATGTGTTTTTTTTTGTAGTATTTGTTGCACCACAAAGACGGGAAACCATTCTGTGAAGTGCTACAGAGTAACCCCATGCGTCTGGTCAACATGTTGTCAGGACAGTTACAGGTATGTCTTGGACTAGGGAATTGTTCTACAATCATTATAGTTACAATTTTTCTGATTTAGGATGACGGTCATAAAGTGGGTAAGATATTTTGGCTTTCTTTTTTTTGAATGAGTTTTGCATTTGAATCAAGATTCCTTGTATTTCTTAGACATATGTCATATTTTGTTCTATTCTTTTTGGCATATGAAAACGAAAAGGTAAAAAAATTCATGGGGCCCTAAAAGTCATATTCTTTATTAAAAAATCACCATCATGAAGGCCAAAGAAGCAAAACTGCATTTTTTTTTTAAATTAATTTTTATTATAGCACTTCACAAATAGTTTCTATACCCTGTCCGCTCAGGCCACTGCCGCAAGCCCAATTGCCAGCCCATCCCCAGTGAGGACTGAACTCCAGTACCGGGCTGTCCGGCTGATTGCCCTGCTGGTGAGGTTTGATGAGAAGTGGCTGGCACAGCACACGCAGATGGTGAGTACAACACTCCGTCTCTTCACGCACTGTGACTAGCTCAGGTTTAATGATTGTTTCATGTTGTTTGCTTCCTGTTTGGAGAGGTGGTAATCTGCTATAGAAATTTGTGATGTCACGGCAATGGTAAGTTTGCCTCCTTTTTGTCTTCTCTCTCTCTGTTCCTTTAATCTGCTGTGTGCCCTTTCTCTCCTTCCCATACTTTGTCAGCCTGAATTTTCTTCCCGGCACTCCTTGACAGAAGTCTGTCATAGTGGGTTGTTGATGGGTGCTCTGGTGTGGTTTGCTCATTCTTTCCTGTAAAAACTCTATCGTCTCTATCTCCCCTCCTTCTTTTTTGTGTTTGTTACTCTCTTGTAACACCTCTAATCTTCCGCACTTATATGACCTTATTGTGTTGCATGTGCTGCAAAACACTTACTAATTTATTTTTTTTATTTTAAGTGTCATAAAGGCGTGTGCTTTTGTTAAAAATGTGTGATACAGATTTTTATTTTGACACTGTTGTGAAAGAATATTTTCCCCTTAAAACCCATGCCATTCACCCCCATTGTATTATTTTTGGCCTCAGTGAGCAACCGTGGATGGTTGGCTGGTTTTCTGGTTTGCTCTTTCTTTCCTATCAAACATTTATCGCCTTTATCTCTCCTCCTTCTTTACTTTGTATGTTACTCTCTTGTAACACCTCTAATCCTCAACACTTATATGGATCCAAGTGCTGTTAAAAAGTGAATGACTTCTGCAATGGAAACAAAACTATGCTCTTGTGATATGATTGAAGCATACACAAGAGGGGCTGATCATCTAAGCTGTACACTTCAGTTATGGGTTTTTTTTCTGGATTCTGTGAAAATTGATTCATTACTGTCTAGAGCAAGCTGTTCATTAATTATTGAAAACTAGCTATTGTTTCATATTTGACTTCAAGAGTGCTGCAGTAAAAGAAATGTTAGGAGTGGTACTTCTATGTGTTTAAGTGTGACCTGATTTTCTCACAAATCCTTCTCCTCAGCGACCTCTCCTGTTGTCCATATGGGTGTCTGATGCTTTCTTGGAGAGGCACAAGGCTGTGGTGAGTTGGAGGAGTGGCAAAAATGTCACTTGTTATAATTGTGGATGACAAGTTTACAAGTTTTAATGCTAGCAAACTGATGACTTTATTTTGAAAAAATCAACATGTCATCTCTGTGGTATACTCCAGTTGTATGGTAGCATTTGAAAGGAATGTTTTTATTGTGGAGAATGGACAGGCTGATTCTCAGATTGATTTCGGTCAATTTGAATGTCTATTATGTTTTAAGGATGATGGCATTAGATAACAGTAGGTGATGTCTCAGATACAAAGATGAGATCGATTTTCTGATTGGTTGAAATTACTATGAGACTTTCAGGATGATGTTATTGAATAACAGTAACAGAAAACAGTGTCTCATGGACTGGTCCTTGTCAGACTCATTTCTTATTTCTCTTTGAAAACTTTATTTTGACTTCGGTTCTTTGTAGAATAAAGACTATATTCATATTTCGACCCAATTGATTTGAAAGAACGCCAGAGCGTGACAACCTTTACTATTCCATGCACCAGTGTGCACGCCTTATTGTACAGCATAGATAGCGGACAACAAACAAGGGCTCAGGTGCTCAGATCTAGTTGGGGGGGGGGGGGTGTCAAGGGTTACAAAGGTCAGGTTAGGTTGCCATGAGTCAGAGATTTTCTTTGTCAAGTCCTTTTATTCGTGATTAGGGTCTATACCATATGAAACTGTATTTTTCCCCTTTCATCTCACAGGATGCGTTGGACTATGTGTACTGGAAAGAGCCAGCGCTCATCCTCAAGTGTTTGCTGAATTATTTCAAGTAAGATTGTTTGTCTTTGTGTAGGACAGCATAGTGAGTGTGCAGAAATATGGTTCCATTCTTTATCTTGTCAGAGTCCAGAAATAAAGCATTTGATGTAAATTTGTTTGCCTCGTTAATTTTTGGGGGCTTGCATATAAAAAAATTTCTCTATCCTCTTTTTCTTGTTTGTTTGTTTTTTCATCTTGATGTTTACCAAACTCTCCTTGTGGACATACTAGATTTGTAGATGTGTTCCGATGAGAAAGTTTGCTATTGTTTTATTTTAAGGTCATCTTTTGTGTTACATACAGTTTTGCGAATGAGTCTGCACTTAATGAATTGTGTTGCTTACTGCAAGTCATATTAGAGAATACAGTCAAGAATCTGCTCGTGTTGTGATGCGTGGGCATTTTTCAGTGTCTGAAATCTTCAGTTCATATTGACAGTTCCTTAGTCTCCATTGCAGTGGTTAAAATATTAAAATTCCTAAGTTATTCTCTTGCTTCATCATGACTTTGACCTGTTATGTAGAGGAAGATTGATATGTATTGATCTAATGCTGTGTATTATTTTTGTGTCCCTAAAAGCTAGTTAAAGCACGCAATTCATTTTTTTTTTTCAATAGAGGATCATTAAAATATACCTTATCTTTGTTTTGTTTCATTACATTTTGTTATTCTGTTGTTGTTTTGTTTTTTTCAGACAACACACAGATGACATTGAGCTCTTGTTTCACATCCTGCGCTGCTTCATTAATCGGTTCATACCACAATTTCAATTTGTGAAGGATTTTCTGGATGACACCATTGCCAAGGTTGTTTTAGCAGCTTTTGTTTTTCCTTTATAAAATCTTTTCATTGTATTTCTATCGAAACTCCCATTTTTATTGACCAGCGAGAGGAAATTTGGTTTACAATAGCATTCATACTACATACATACTATAATGAGAACTTCCGATTTTCTGCATAAATTGGGAAATCCAGATTTTGGATTTTGTCCCGATTTTGCCTGACTTCAGGCCAGTTTTAGTGAAGCTGAAAAATATTTTTAATACAAGATGCATTTGACAATATGGTCTTTAAATTTTTCGTCAATTCGCATATTTCCTGGAGTCCTATTTCTTCACTTTCATTTCTCGTGTTTCTGTCTTTTTCCATACTCGCAATGACCATTATTGTGATGCTTCTCTTTACTGAAAGATCTAAATTATGGGTGAGATGTATAAGTAAGCATTTAAAGCAGTAAATCCTGATATAGAGACAGCAAACATTCTCTATGATATTCAGGTGAAATTAGACAACTGGAATTTTGCCGTTTTGCTCAACAGACTTACAGTGCTGACTGGAAGAGGAAGGCTTTCTTCAAGTTTGTCACTGTTTTCCATGACCAGAGTTGGCCACAGGAGCTCAAAGCTAAGGTATATTTCTTCATGGACTCTATAGACCTCTTTATCCTTTGCCTTCTAACTTTGCGGATGTTTGGAGGGTGCCATTTGCAGATCCTGCGTCTTTCCAGTGTTCCTGGGTGGTTGGCGGGTGCTTTGATGTGGTTTGCTTCTTCCTTCCTATGAAACATCTATTGTCCTTATCTCCCCCTTCTTCTTTTTTATGTTTGTTACTCTATTGTAACACCTCTAATCTTCTGGCGCTCATATGACCATATGCAGTTGCGAGTGCCGTAAAACCTCTACTAAAAGTACACTTTCCAGTGTTGTTTTTGTCAGTCAGTTTTACTTTTAACTAGCAATAAAATGGTAATAATTGTGTGAAAATGTTTCTGATTCTCTTTCCTCAAACTGACAGACTCTGTGTTCATTATCATGGCAATGTGCTTCTCTTTTACTGGAACTCGCTCCTCATCAAAACCAGCATATTGTTGTGGATGTAGAAAAAGAGAAATTGTCATCATTTGGTCTTGAATGCTTTGGATAGATGTCTGTGGGTGATTTGAGGGTGCCACTGGTAGGTCCTACTTCTTTCCTTTCCCTCTTTTGTTTCTGTCTGCCTATCTTTCTTTTCACGACTCTAAGTGACTGTTATTGTGTCAGTGCGCTTCTTTTCACTCAAGAAGTTTCTTCTGTCTTGTGTTTTCCCAGCATTCCATGGCCATTATCGTTTCAAAGTGCTTCTGTCATGTAACTTGAATATCTCAAACTCTTACTCAAGAAAAATTGTGGGTGGTTGGCGGCTGCTCTGGTGTGGTTTGCTCCTTCTTTCCTATCAAACAACTATCGTCTTTATCTCTCCTCCTTTTTTGTTTGTTACTCCCTTGTAACTCCTCTAATCTTCAACACTTATATGACCTTATTTTGTTGCAAGTGCTGTAAAGCTTTTACTAACGCTAAAACAAGAAAAATAGACTGTTGTTTTGGATAAAGTGAAATATGGAATTGTCTGTTCACAACCTCTCCAGTATGCTCTGGTCCATTGCTTCCTCATCATCTGGTTTCAGAGATCTCCAGTACGTCAATGTTTTCCTACCTTCTTGTTGGTGTTTGTTACTCTTTTGTATCACCTCTAATCTTCTTTCCCATCTTACTGTGTTGCAAGTGCCATAGAACTCTTTCTAAAACCAAACTAGTACGTTCTGGTCACTGTAACTGCATCATCAGTTTACAAATTCTGCAGTACGCATTGGTCCCTTGCTTGTTCCTCTATTTTAGATTTTCTAGTTCGTTCTTATCTCTATCATCATCATCTGGTTTCAGATCCTGCAGTACGTGCTGGTTCCTTGCTTTTTCAACTCGTTTGAGAAGGGAGAAGGTGACAAGCTCATTGGCGGCCCCCCGGCCCCAGACCAGGACAGCGAGGACAACGTCATCAGCGTCTTCATCAACCGCGTCATCGATCCCGAGAACCCATTCGGGACATCAGACGCTGTGCGGATCCTCTTGTTACAGTTCTCCTCATTGCTGGTGGAGCAGGCATCTTCCCACATCCATGACGCTGCCAACAAGTAAGACATCTATGCCTGCTGCTGTGTTCTTGGTTGTTCTGTTGAGAGAAAGTGATTGCATTGCGTGCTTGCAATGTTTGTGGCTCAAATTGCAAATATGTAAGGTCATTTTCGATAGTGCGTCATTCACACACACTCATATACACACATATACAAACACACTGATAAATGTTAAATACATAGTGCCCAGGCACACTCACATACACTACCCAGAAAAGCACTCACACACGCACATACACGCACAAACACCTTGTTAAAAGTCAGCGCACCTTTTGTACATACTACCATTGGTGCTTAAAATATGTTTTTGTTTTATTTGGCATAAAAGTTTTTTTTTGACAAAGTTTTTTTATTCGTGTCACTACTTTAAGAATGTATCAGACATGTACTTAAATATAAATTTTGCAACCAGCATTTTCGAAGACGCTTTTATCAGGCAATGTTCCTCACCCACAATTCCTGCTGAGGTATGGCTTTGACCTGCCACAAGGACGTGCTGTCATGGACCTGACATCCTTTTCCTAAAGTCCCTCTATGGATCTGGCTGTTGTTTCCTTGAACCTATGAACCCAGCCAGTTTCTGAGCACCCTACTCCATCCCAAACACTCAGCCAGCTCCCGGTTAAAGAAGAAAAATTGTCTTTTCCAGGAAACAAGGCAACAAGCTGCGACGCCTGATGACTTTTGCTTGGCCGTGCCTAGTGGCCAAGAACTGTGTGGACCCGGCCACCAAGTACCACGGACATCTCCTCCTGGCTCACATCATTGCCAAGTTTGCCATTCACAAAAGAATTGTTCTTCAGGTTAGTGAAAAGGAAAATGTTAAAATGAAAACAGGGCTTTTCACAAACAAAATGTACTGCAATTAAGGGGAAAATATCATGAAAACGGGGGTTTTCTCAGAATAATTGTTTTCAGATTCAGCCATAGTAAAATGTTATAATGAAGGCCATCCACACGAGGATTTTAGTCAAATGTTGGTCTGAGAAAGATGACACTTCGGGTTGTTAGTAAAATATCTTGATGAAATCAGGGCCTTTTTGAAAAAAATTGTTCATAGGGTTTATGAGTAGTGAAATATCACAATGAGAACAAAGGTTTTCCACAGAAGGATCTTACTTAGGGTTTATGTATAGAAAAAAATATATGATTTTTATAGAGCCCTTCACAAAAAGATTATACTTCAGTATCTAGAAAAACAATGAAAACTGGGCCATTCTAAAAGGACTGTATTTCAGGTTTGCCATTTGTGAAATGAAAAATATCAGGAAAACCAGACCTTTCATAAAATGATTGTGAGTTTTTAAAATATCACTATATATTTTGGACTTATTATGCTGTTCACAAAACAGTTGTGTTTCGAATTCGTTAACAGAAATATAATACTAATTGATAGCCGTTCAGTGGATTTTGGCACGCCGAATTTATGGTGACAAAGTGTCCTTTATAATAATTTTTACCATTGATGGAAATCAAATCTTCTCTTTCATGAATACCAAAATGTCTTTCACGACAATTTTGTTTTCCATCTGAATATAATATTGGGGGGTTTACATATGTCTTTAAAGGATTATAAATGTCTGATCTGTAAATTGATGAGAAGGTTCTGGCAGGCCAAAGGCAATAAATTTTGAAAAAATTGTTATTCTCCTCAAGCAATATGAAGCAGTCAGGATACTGGCAGATTTCAAAGGATGACTGAATATTGGACTTAGTGGAGAGCTTCATTCACTAATTAATGTCTGTTCCAGACCTTCAGTTGAGGATGAAGACCGGAGCATGAATTTGATAAACTTTCTCTTTTGCCAGGTTTTCCACAGTCTCCTCAAGGCTCATGCCCATGAAGCTAAGATGGTGGTCAGGCAATCGCTGGAGTATCTCACCCCGGCCATGCCCGGCCGCATGGAAGATGGCAACGTAGGTGACTTCAGCTTCATAGCTGTCTCTTCATCTTGTGTAGTTAGTTGCTATGAAAATGGAGGGTGTTTCTTCTGGTGTGTTGTTTGTTGCTATGGCGATGGGGGTTGTTTCTCCTTGTGTCTTGTTTGTTTTGCAAAGGCAGTGTGGGTCATTTCACATCATACGGTTTGTGTGCCGTCCTTGTCTTGTGTTGTCGGTATGTGTTGTTAAAACAATGGGCAGTTGGAGAGTGCCTCTGGTAGGTCCTACCTCTTTTATTTCAACCAAACTGAAGCTTCTCTAAACATTAAATTTAAGTGTGTTGGATACTACATTTATGCGTCATGCAGATTTTTTAACAGTCAGAAATTATTTTGTGTTCCATTTGATAGTACTTTGTTTATATTAAATAGTAGTCTTAGGAACATTCTTCAAGCAATTTAAGTGAAAAGGCAAATTACAAAATGGGTTGACTTTTCTGATTAGTTGAGATGCCGCAAATTTTTGCAGGAAAGCCAGACTTGGATTCACAATGGCAATTGTTTCTAAATGAAACAATGGCAAATTTTTAATAATTTCTAAATATACGTTTCTGTAAAATTCCTTTGTCTCAAGTGTCTTGAATAGAGATCAGAAGAGCATTTAAAACTCCAAAATGCTTCTCATTGGATGAACTCTTGCAGTGTTGCTTGTTCAATTAACCAATAGTATAGGTCTCTGTTCATAGCAGCAGTATTAAGATAGTAGTAATAATTGCTTTTATATCTTACATATCCATGCTCTAGAGAATGCTCTATAAGTTTTACTGCTATTCATACCCCAGCAGACCCTTAGAAACATAATATATGAATATTGAACAGAAACAGAATTTTGTTCTCTGTTTCTCAGGCACCCGGGAAGCATCACAACATACTTCTAAAAAAATATTTTTATGATATTGTCAGGGTGGAGTTGGTTTTTTTGTTTGTTTTTTGTTTTTGTTTCTGTTGGGGGTGTTTTTGGGGGGAGGTAAGTAAACGAGAGTAAAGAGTAGAGTAAATCTTGTGAAATTTTAAAGTGCTTTTTTGTAATGAGGGCAATATATAAAGTAAATAGGGGGGGGCAGCCCCTGCTTCTTTAATTTTCTTCTATTGTTCCCATCTGTCTTTCTTACTTTTTTTTCAAGTTAATGTGAATGTGCTTGACTGTAATCAAAGTCTTTGGTTTCTTCATCAGGGAATGCTGACCCACTGGACAAAGAAAATCATTGTGGAGGAAGGCCACAGCGTGGGACAGCTGGTGCATATTTTGTAAGTTTGAACTTTTGTGCTAATGATTGGAACTACTTCTTCACCATTTTTATTTTTCCTGTCTGCCTGTCTTATTTTTTCCCCTTCACTAATTGGCTGTTAGTGTCTTTAGACCCCCCCCCCCCCCCCCAAAGTGTCTGTGCTGTCTATTATTTCACTCACTGAGCCCTTAGGACCCCTGTTTCTGTCTTTATGTAAGTATTTATGGCATTTTTTTAAAAAGATATAAGTTTAATTATAGACAAAAAGGCTGTGGAATGTGGTTTAAAAAGGTTATTTCAGTTCAGTTCTTTTGACACACTGCCAAGTTTGAGTACAATGCGTGAAACAATAATTACAATCATTTTCAGTCAAACACTAGCTGTGAAGGAACAGAAAAAGTTTACCTTTCTATGACTTCATCAAATTGGTCTCTACTTCTCATCGACAATACACTTTGCCTTGACAATACATGTCTTTTTAGCAATACACTTCTCTTTGACATTACAAGTCTCTTTGGCAATATATACCTCTTTGACATTACAAGTCTCTTTGGCAATATATACCTCTTTGACAGTATACTTCTCTTTGGAACTATGCATCTATTAGCAATATACAGTCGAACCTGCTCTTGAGTCTTACAGCCACTTGTCTGAGACAGTCACCTTTGCAAATGGCCACTTCCCACTTTGTCCCTTGTGGTTTCTCTGCATTATAAAGTTTAATAAAGACACTGTCTAAGACAATCATTTTTCTAACTTACAATGGGTGCCCTTCACAGACAAATTCAACTGATTTTCTCTTCGACACTATACAGATCATTGACATTTCACATCTCTTTGACCACACATTCAGAGAGTGCAGTTATCTGAGGCATAGTTTGATTCGTATATTGTGCTAATAATTAGATAACTGCTGTGTACATCTCTGTATGTGTCCTTATTTTCTCCTTCCCCAGGCATCTGGTGGTTTTCCACTACAAAGTCTACTACCCAGTGCGACATAGTCTACAGCAGCATATGGTCAACTCGTTGCAGAGGCTCGGCTTCGCCCTAAGTGTACGTCCACTTGACCACAACTTCTTTTTTTCCTGTCTGCTTACTGTTTATGGTGTTCTCTTGTAAATTGTGTCAGCAGATGTTTTGGTTAAGTATCATGTGTGTTTTGTGCTTTTGTGTGCCACCACCCCTTCTTCAGTTCCCTGTCAGTTTCCTTCACTCATTGTTTCCATCTCTTTTTCTTTTCCCAGTCAATTTACTCTTTGCATAAATCTCTCTTTTTGTTTTCCCTGGCAGGAGATCCTTGCGTCTGTCTTGCTCTTTACCAGTACTAAATGGAGCTGATTATATAGCAATGCCCACCGAGCGCATTTTGTTCTGCCGATTTTTGGCCCCTGCAGCGGGGGTGTTTCATGGGACGCACTAACGCAAAGGTTGTTGTCTTCAACTCGCTCTCACGCCGCTTCTCGTGAATGGATATGAATGAAACTTGGCAGCCAATCAGAAAAGAGGTCAATCTCGTAGTATGCAGTTTGACAACATTGTACCCATCCTAGAAGCAGTCGAAAACGTTTGCGAAAGTGGTTGATGTGGTGCGCTTTGAAGGTTTTTCAGAGCTGTGATTTGTCAAACTGACTGATACGTTGTACACCATTTTTCTTTATTCCCTTAAAATTTCATGCTTCTGTGTTTAGCGGTTTTGGCGTAATCTTTAAAAATGTGGGAGTAACTAAGGAAAAAAGCGACATTGCCATTTGCGCGTGCTGGGTGAACGGCCGGCGGCGTGGAAATTTCCACTGAGTGACGTCATCAGCCATCGGTCGCCTCGGGCGCTACAAACGAGGCCCCGCTTATGTGAAATGGAAAGGGGGGGAAGGATACTTGAAAACTAAACGGGGGCCTTGATAACTTGCGTTTTTGTTGCATTTTAGTCACAATACAATAGATGTAGTCATTTTTATTTGCTTGATTGCATGACAGAAGAATAGAAACAGAAAAGCAAACATCTTGAGAAGTGGTATGGCATTGTGTTTGCGTTATGAAAGCCTATTCCCCCCTCTTGGGAAAGCACACACTTGGACTCGTCCTGTGTGCTCTGTTTGGGAAAAGTGAGGCATTAAGATTGTTATTAAAGAGTATGGTACTTATTTAGTCCAGTCTGGGAAGATAGTCCCGTTTATACATTGTTATCGTTCACGCGTGCGTGCGTGAGTGCGCGCGCGTGAGAGAGAGAGAGAGAGAGAGAGAAGGGGGGGGGGGGGGTGTAAATATGTTACATTTATTGTATGAGTTGTAGCCTACACATGCGAAATATTCCCATGACTTGTAAACTATATTATCTGAACGCATCTTAATCTACCACACAATAGGACACTGTCCAACAATGGATATACACAGAGACGATCTTATTTTCTATAACAAAGTATGCATGCTTTTACTAGTACAAAACTGGATTTATTAGTAGCTCTCTACTTACATTTTTGTGACAAATTGATCCAGAATATTGCTTGGCAAGGAAGAACCTTTTATGTTGCCAAGTTTCATTCAAATATCATGACTTTGGGAGAACATATGACTGATAATCTTTGTAAATCTGTAAAGAACGCCACTTTTTTACCTGTTAATGTCTTTACAACTCAAAAAGTATGACAGATATTAAAAATCTGACTGCATGACTAAATTCTGCATTAAAAAATGTACTAGACTGCCAAGTTTGATTTACATATTCCAAGAAATAGGCGAGCTATGACAAATATTGTCTCAAAACGCACCGAAAAAGGCCAACATTTTTACCTATAAACGTCTTCATAACTCAAAAAATAGGATAGCTATGAAAAATCTGAAAGCAGGACTAGATTCTGCACTAGAAAATGTACTGGGTTGCCAAGTTTCTTTTAAATACTCCGAGAAATGAGCGAGTTATGACGAATATTGTCTCAAAACTCACCAAAGAACGTCCCATATTTTGGGGTTTTTTCATTATATAAAAGTGTACCAGAAATTAATTGATTAAAAAATCCGTAACTTTTTTGTTTATTGATGGATTTTAAAAATTCAAAAAGTTCTATGCTCAGTGAAGATAAAGCTACAAAATGCACCTATTTGCAAACATTTTCTGGCAAAAAAAGGATTTTCGTGGTCATTGCTAGATTATACCAATGTGCTTCCTTCTCTCTCTCAAAAATCCAGTCTGAAAAATATCATCCTTTTTTTTTCCCCTCTGTTGTCTCTGTCTGGTCTGTTTTGTTGTTTCCTTGCACTAAATGGAGGTGTTGTATCTGCATACTCCTCTGTACTTAAACAAACATCTATGTTTTATCGACACTGATCTATCTCCCTGAACAGGCAAGTCTCGAACATCGCAAGCTGGCTGTCGACCTGGCTGATATCATCATCAAGTGGGAGCTGATGAGGATCAAAGAGGAGCAGGACAGCAATGCAGAGCCACAGGTATGAGGTTTGAACCAACCCTGCCTTCCTGTGGTAGAAAGTTTATATAAATTTTGCATGATGATCATAAAGTGAGAAATGATGATCTTTAGTATTACGGTTGCTTGTTAACATTTTTTTTGTGTGTACCATGTTCTCAGACACCTTTGAACAGTTTGACTGAGTTATTTAGACTCATTCCCCTTTAACTGAATACTATTTTGATTTTCCTAGCCATTTCTCTTTGACTGTATACAATTTTGATTTTCCTATCCAGTCCTTTTGTGTAAAATTTTGATCATCCTCTCCAGTCTCCTTTTGTACGTATACCGTTTTCTGATCCAGTCCCTTTTCTAAGTATACAGTTTGATTTCATCCTCAATCCTCTTTATCCATTGACAATTTGAGCTGTTTAGTGTATTTTTCCTATCCAATTCTTTTGTCCATTTACAATTTAATTGAACTGTATGGGTTACTTTTATTTTAATTGTAAAGTTTTACACCCCTTTTAAAAAATTTAGATAATGATTTGTCCTGTCCAGTCTCCTTTGCCGGATGGGGCGTCCTCTTCAAGTGGGTCATCAGGGTCTGGGCTAGTCACACAGGCTGCCGGGGTCAAACGTTCCATGTCCTCTGTCAGCTCGCCACAGGATCCAAAGAAAAGCAAAGTGGCTGGATCTGTGAGTGTTGTGTTTTGTGTTGTTTTTTTCTATTCATCTGTTTCCTTCTCCTACTCACTTTTCTCATTCAGCTTCTTCTCTTTCTTCTTTTCCTCGCGTTTGTTCTTTTTTTTCTTCATCACTTTCACCTTTTACTTCTCATGTATTCTCCTTTTTTTTCCCCTTATCTTCGCTTTTTATTCATCTACTTTTCTCTTTCCGTCTTATTCTTTGTTTTCTCCTTTATCCCTTATTTGTTTCTCATGCAGCTGGTTCTCCTGCATCTGGTTCTCCTCCAACTTTTGTTACTGCTTTTAGTGTTTTGTAGGAATAAAATAGAAAAAGTGGACTACATCAAAGCGACCTTTGATTTCTTGAAAGACTGAAACAAAGAGGGCAGTGAGACATTCTGACCAGATTAGTTAACTGGGCTGTTGCAGTATACATTTTTTACTAAAGTTCTTAGTTTGCTATCCCTTACATAGGTAGCGCCTTTGATTTGAGTGACAAATACAGAAAAAAAATGTCAATGTGTCATCGAAACAGAGTATTTGGTGCCTGCTATTGTCGACACAGTACCTTGTTTTAAAAGGAATTTTTTAGTGGGTTGGTGGAGGGTGCCACTGGTAGGCCCTTCTTTTTTTCCCCCTTCCCTCTGTTTTCTGTGTCTCTATCTTGCTTTTCCCTCATCATTTAGTGCTTGTTATCTGATCCATTTGCTTCATTGTACTCGAAATAAAACTTTTATTTTCTCTCTTAGAGAGTATATTCCCACAGCTCTGGTGTATATCAGGGTCATTGACATTTAGTCTGTTTCTCAGGGTGGGCGCAGTCAGTCTGATGTGAACAAACCAATCGACAAGCAGTACTGTGATGCTGTGGCCAATTTCCTGCTCCGATTTGCCTGCCAGGTGAGAGCAAAGGGTTCTTGATATTATATGCCTTTTTCCGTCACTTGTTAGATTTTTTTAAAAGGTTTTCTCCTCTACACCAGTGAGGCATTTTATCATGAAATTTTCATCTGTGCTGCTTGTCAAAATGTTGTGCAGTTGGTTTGAGGATGTTGGTGGTAAGTCCTACTTTTGTCTTCCATCTCTGTTGTTTCTGTTTATCTGTCTTACTTTTCCATTGTTAAATGGATTTGTGATGTCATTGTGCTACTCAAAGCAAAGCAAAATTTTGGAACATATTTAGAAGATTACTCAACACTTTCGTCATTGTGGACATTTTTATGCTGTAGCACTCAACTTCTTGTTTTGATGTTGAGAAGGATACTTAAAGAAACACTAACATACACATTTTTCTGTCCCGGGAAACACAGAAAGAATGACCTTTCTCACCCCTTTTTTTTTCTTAAAGATGTTGGTGGTTGGAGGGTACCAGTGGACGGTCTTACTTCTTTTTTTTCCTGCTGTTGATTCTGTCTGTTGGTCTTACTTTTTCCTGCACTAAATGACTGCTTCTGTGATTTTGTATTTCTTTACTCAAATAAACAAATAAGCAAATTCCTTTTCATAGTCAGTATGTCCTTTTGAAAAATAGTTTCCCCTTGTAACAAATGAACCCACGATGACAAAAGTGTCAGGTTTTCCTTCTTTCTCAAAATATCAGCTCTGTGAAGTAGAGCATTGTCTTTCCCAATAATCAAGTGCCATCCTTCCCCCTACAAGGTAAACGAGGCAGCAGGTGCAGTGGGCCACACCTCCCAGGGAGAAATGTTGTCCAAACGCTGCGTGGCCCTGCTCAAGCTGGTGCTGCGTTCCGACGTCTGGCCCAACGTGGACCTCAAGCTGAGCTTCTTCGACAAGCTCCTCAGCAACGCCACAAACTCCCAGCCCAACATCAGCAACATTGTGGTGGCCTTAGAGCTTCTTGAGTTCTTGATTGGAATTATGGTATGTCTTTTCTCTCTTGATCATGTGTAGCCATGGTATCCTACCTATGTCTTTTTCCTCTGTTGTTTCTGTCTCGTTTTTTCCCTGCTCTAAATGGCCATTATTATCGTTTCGGTGAGCTTCTCAACAGTGCCACAAACTCCCAACTCAATATCTACAAGGTTGTGGTGACATTACAACTTTTTGAGTTCTTGATTGGGATCAAGGTAGGTCTTTTTGTCTTGCTCATGTGTTTGCTGGTGGTTGGGATGAGCCATTTGTAGGACTTTTTGTGTTGTTCTTGTATAAGCAGATGGCAGGACTTTGCTTCTTATTATTGCACATTAGATCAATCACATACAAAATAGGGAGGCCAACTTAACTATTACCAAATATTGTGCTGATAGGGGTATTAAAAATTGTACAGCCAGGAAAAGATTAACCAGAGCTGAAATGTTCCCCCTCAGAAAAAAGAGATGATCCTGTCTAGCTTCCGTCCGCTGCAACGGGGCATCTCTGTGTGCATGAACTGCAACAACACCAAGGTGATCCGTGCTGTGCACAAGCTCCTGATGAGCCTGATGAGTATCTTCCCTACCGAGTCGGCCAACTGCACTGTGGCCTCCAAGTATGAAGAGCTGGAAGCCCTCTATGCCCACGTCAGCAAACTCATCTATGAGGGCCTCACCAACTACGACAAGTAAGGCAGCTGCAGCTTTGGACTAAACTTGTGTCTTTTTTTTAAATTATGAGATGTTATATTTCATTTAAAACTATTTCTATTATTGTGTGGGATTTGATTTGGGTTTGAAACTGTTTAATGTATACATTTTTTATGGTTTATGCTTGGGTGTGTTTGAAAGGGATGGAGGGCTTTAATTTACTTAAGATGAATTGTGTTATTTGTGTGATAAATTGATATAAATTATATGAGTTTAATTGCGTTTAAAAAATGTATTTCAAGTGGTGTGTGTTGTTTGTGTGATGAAATTGTACTTGTGTCTTCATTGTGTGTATAGAGAGTTTTATATGTAGCAGTTATCAGTTAATTTCTTTTTTTCCTGGTGATATGTATCTTATTGGCCTTTGTGTGTCCCGTCAGGAACAATGGAGGCAGCCCATCCCTGTTCAGCACTCTGATGATCTTGAAGTCTGCATGTGAGAACAATCAGTGCTACATCGACCGACTCATCACTATCTTTATGAAGGTTCTCACCAAAATGACCCAAGAGCACCTCAAGACACAGGAGACGACATCAGGGAACAGGACTGCACAGCCTGTACCAGAGACAGAAAAAGGTGTGACATTCAAGCCAAACTCGAGTAGTCGGGGGTTTATAATTTATCTTGCCTGTGTGGTTTAGGTTTCTTGATTTATAAATTTAGCTTGCTTGAGTGGGCTGGGTTTATAAAAGTAGCTCAAGTGGTCTGGATCTATAATTGAATCCCAGTTAAAAATAGAATAAAAGAATTTTGAATATATCTTGTTTTTCCCTGTGGTAAATTGCAGGCTGAACTGAACAGATAATAGCAGTACCAGTATTAATAAGGAAGTCTGTGGTTAAGACCAAAACTTGGCATTATTGTATCAGGAAACTCTTCTGTGTAGGTAGAAAAAACCTGAGTCTACAGTTTCTGGGTTAATCAAAAAGCTGAACTATCTACCAAAAAGTGCTGTATTTAAGCAAATGAGCGAACTCTCAGTCATGATAAAGCACAATGGTCTTTAACACTTTGCCGTCACATCTCGCCGATTGGCGATGTTTACCACCCTGTTTCTTTGGATTTTCCCCAAAATGCCTTTGTCTTTGATGGCAAGAGTTTTTACTATAGGAGCCTTGTGGCGGCAAAGTGTTAATTCACGATCTTGGATTTCGTGCTTTGTTTGAACCCTAACTAAGCAGCAATGATGCTGTTTTCATGGCACCTCTTTGTCATGTTAACTGGGGGCCCCCCCCCCCCCCCCCCCCCCCCCCATTGTACTAGCAGAAGACCAGCATCAGTGATGTAGTGGTTAGGCTTCTTAAAGCCACATGCAGAAGTCATGAGTTTGATCTGGGGAGGTTTTTAATTGAGAAACTCCATTTGTCTGCTTGAACATTGTATCCCACTCAGTCTAGGCTGACCCTGACAGGCAGGTTCAAAGCAATCTGTCTCATAAATCATCTAAATTGTGTCCAAAGGAGCATAAAAGATTAACAGTTACATATTATATGCCCCCACCCCTAGGAGGCTCAAGTGAGCTGCTCATCCTGAGTTTGGACCTGGTCAAGAACCGTGTGGGTGTGATGAGCCAGGAGATGCGCAAGTCTTTCATCGGCAACATTCTGGCCGGTCTCATTGAGCGCACAGGGGACTCCAAGGTCATGAGAGCCATCACCAAGATGGTGGAGGACTGGATCAAAAACAAGGTGAGTAACTGGGGTAGCCTTTTGATGGGGTTGGTTGTTAGATAGCATGTCTTCAACCATATGGAAATGCTTTGGTCAGTCTGGGTCAAAAGCAAGGGGAGGGGGGGTATGTTTGGATGTATAGGATGTCTTCAGCCTACAGAAATGCATAGGCCTATTCTTTTTTTCCTCTTGTTTTTTCCCCCATGACTCCTATTTTTCCCCCACCATTTTTTTTTCACCCATATTTAATTCTTTGTGAAGGGTCGATGTTTTGTTTATAAGGAGTTATCAGGTCTGTATTTGTTTATTCCCTTCTAAGGAGTTACATTACTGTTTATGTTTATTCCCTTTGATCCCTTTGGCAGACAACGATAGCCATCAATCAGTCCCCATCCACAAGAGAGAAGTGCATCCTTCTGTCCAAGCTGATGAGCAACATTGAGAGACGTTTCCCAGCAGACATTGAGCTAAACTCACAGTTCCTAGATCTTGTGCTCTTCATTTACAGGTTGGTCATTGTGTGATGGTCTGTGAAGTTGATTCTCGTACAACCAGGTTTTTTTGTCTCAAATATCTTGCTCTCACTGGGAAAATGGAAGGCAAAAGAAGCAGAGGTTGACCAAGAACAGCTTATTTAGAGAACTTACAGATGGAATATAGGGAAAGACTGGAACAGTAATAGACAAATATTTTGTCAAAATTCAAATTGGCAGCAGCTAATACATTTCTCTACAACAAGAATTGACAGTTTGTTGTTTTATATCCCAGCAATGATTGGCTGTTTTCCAGTCTGTTCACTGCCATGAAATGGTGTGTGTAGGTTGGGTTTTTTTTTAATGAAACCATTGTGCTGTCCTAAAGAGTGTTTTCTTAGTTTCTGTTCTCAGGTGAAAAAGGTTAGCTCTAACATCACAGAATTCTGAGCAGTGGAAAAAGGGGTCATCCACTGCCTCATACAGATAGTCCTCCATTAATACAAATGAGAAAAACTTAATGAAGTCTGCAAAGGTGGAAAGTCATTCGAATATATTGTATCTGCAAGTGGCCTAGTGGTTAGGCTCTCGGACTTGCAACCGTAAGGTCATGGGTTCGAATCCCATCAGGTGCCCAACGTTGTGTCCTTGGGAAAGGCACTTTACACGAATTTTCCTCACTTCACCCAGGTGGGAATGGGTACCCGGCTATAGACAGCAAAAATCTTGTCAGTTTGTTAGTGTTTGAGCGCTTAATCAGCTGCTTGCACTGAATGCTTCCCGGGAAGCTGAGAATGTGTCGGAGTGTTCTATGGTCTGCTGGGGTAATAATATAGTGTAAAGCGCATAGAGCCTGCTGTTGAGCGGGGATTTGCGCTATACAAATGCTATTTAGTATTATTATTAAGTCAAAGGGAATGGCATAGCAAACACTGATTGTGCAGGAATTAATTCCACAAGCATTACAAAAAGATATTTTATGTAGGAGGTCATATTTTTAGATCATAAGAATTACCTTGTGGAGCGTAACTGGAAACAAAGAAATAATTAAATGTCTGTTTATTATTATAAAAAGCTTTGTAGCTCAATATGACTTTTTTTTTCCTTCAGAGACAAAGATTTGGAGCGTTCGGATCTTACAACGAAGCTGGAGAATGCTTTCTTGGCTGGGCTAAGGTGTAACCAGCCACATATCAGACAGAAGTTCTTGGAGGTGGGTTTGCTTTGGTCATTCTTGTCTTTTTTTCATTAAAAAATTGACATTGATATACCAACATACACATACACAAATGCACATCAATACACATAAACAATCCTTCCCACACACTCGCACATGTACAAACAGACATACATACCCTCTCTGATGCACCCACACAAACGCAAGCACAAATACACTCACACACATGCACACAAACGCATGCATATACAACCCTCCTACCAAGACGTACACAGAGACATGAACACTCATCCACACCTACACAATTGTGTACACACACTACTCATGCCTACGTCCCCTTGAGCTGAATAGTTTCCCCCTCAAATTTCCCTTATTTACATACTTACCCTCAAACGTACATATACAACCCCATCCCTAACTTCCCCCTCCCCCCGCATACACACACACACAATTGCCCGCGTTACTTCATACAGAATGCTCTAGTTACCACTCCCAACTTCTTGCCCTTTTCAGACAATGGAGAAGAGCATTCCCCGCAAGACCTTTGACCGACTGCTGTACATGGCCTGCTCCCAAAACTGGGAAAACATGGGCACCTACTTCTGGGTAAAACAGGCTCTTGAGGTGAGCTCTTTGCTGTCGTCTCTTTTTTGTTGTGTATCTTTTTTTTTTTCAGCATGTTTTTCTTTCTGTCCATCCATCTGTTAAGGTCCTTCTGTCTGTCTACCTGTTAAGGTTTTTCTTTCTGTCTATCCATCTGTTGAGGTCCTTCTGTCTGTCCATCTGTTAAGGTTTTTCTTTCTGTCCATCTGTTGGGTTTGTTTTTTCTTGTAGCCGCTTTAGTCATGTATCTTTTTTCCCCCTCTGTCTACTTCCTTTCTTTTCGTCCGTCCTTCTCTCGAAGTGAGCTCTTTGCTGTGACCTCTTTAGTTGTGTAAAAAACAATCTCTATCTCTATCTCTCTCTCTCTCTTTCTCCCTCTCCCTCTCCCTCTTTCCCTCTCCCCCCTCTCCCTCTCCCTCTCTCTCTCTCTGCATCCACTTTTTTTTTCTCTGTCCATCTGTTGAGATGAGCTGTTCCCCATCAATGTATTCATTTTTCACCTACTGCTGGCCATCTACAACAACAGGTCCGTAGGTGTAGTGTGTTACATTCTGTAAAGTTAAGTGCCCTGTATTGGAAATATGGATAGTTTACAGGTATCAGGCCTGGAAACAACCTTTTCCACACATCTGTCTCGGAAGTCTCAGAGCATTAAGTGGCAAGACAAGATTCCTGACACTGAGATGCTCACTAGTGCAGACTTGCCTGTCTTCTTCACCATCCTGATGTAGTCGCAGCTTCACTGGGAATGTATTGTAGCTGGCATGTCAGGCCATCAGCTGCCAAAGACATTACTGTTTGATGAATTGCTACAAGGCAAACACCCACTTTGAGGCCAGAAGAAGCATTTCAAAGACTGCCTCAAAGCTTCCCTCAAGACCCTCAATTAACTCAATGTCAGCCATACAACATGTGAGTAAACATGTCCAGAACAAAGATGGGTGTTGGTCAGTCAGCAAAGATGCAAAGAACTGTGAAAACAACAGAATTGCTACAGTTGAGCAGCACAATACTCAGATGGAACTTTCTGGACAAAGATCGAAGGGCAATCCATGTAAGCACTGACTCTAGGATGACTAGTTAGTCTTCATGATCACGATGGACAAACAACTCCCTGTAATTAACATACACCCCTTCTCAATGTTTCCAGTTACTACTACCTTTCAATATGCATTTCACCAGAGGCAGATCTGCATCAGCAATTCAATATCATTCATTAAGGTTGCTATCCTTCTTTCTAACACCCTTCCCCGCCCACCTCCACTGTTTTCTTAGTTACTGCTGGGTGTGTCTGTGAAGAGCACCATGATCCAGAGCTCTTCCCCGATGAACCTGCTGCCCAGTGTCTGCTCAGTCATCTCCATGGCTGACTCGCAGGACCGTGCTGACTTTGCTGCCATCATGAAGGTCAAGGAGGAGCCCATGGATGTGGAGAGTGTGGACTCGGCCCGGGAGGAGGTGTGTGTGCTGCCTGTTGTACCATTCATATATTGTTGGGGGGGGGGTTGTCATTTGGCCACAGGTAGGATAATGCTAGCCTGAACCAACGAAGAGGTGAGTGTTGAATAA